TTTGGGTGTGGATTGCGTATGCGGGTGGGAGACGAAGCAGCGGTGGTCCTGGTGGAGAAGTCCTCCCTCCAGCAGCGCAGCCCGTGGTGGTGAGCCTGTGCCAGTACTGTATGAGCCAGTGAGCCAGTGAGCCAGCACCCAGCCTATGGTCAGCCTTAGACTTGGGTTGGCCTTGCAGTTCTTTGATGCTGCAGACAGACAAAGGCCTAGAATCTTCTCGTAGCCTTCTTTGATTCGCCAGCGTTGCGGATACTGATGCCGATGCTGAAGCCGATGCCGAAGTTTTGTGTACACCAATCTCACCTGCACACACTCTCCCTCTCACCCCGCACTTGTTGTGAGGTAACTAGGTTCGAGTAGTGGTACAATAGTGGTAATTTACAGTACTGTAGCCTTGTGGTCGTGGTCGCTTGAATCTTGGCAGGCGAAGCTCATTGAAGATCTTCGCCTTCATCCACATCAAGCTTAAGCTTGTATCAATGTATTTATATAAATAGAAGATCTCAGCCCTATGCCATGCCATGTATCCAACCTTATGACCCCCACCACTACCTCACTCCAACGACCACCAGATGATGAATCCACCGTCTAGACTCAACCAAAATGTCCGTCACACTCCACACCAATTTCGGTGATATCAAGCTCGAGATCTTCTGCGAGAGTGTCCCCAAGACCGCCGAGGTGAGTACCAATACACATTTACACTAACCTATTCTATGCAGCGATACAATCTTACTTGAACCTCAACTCAAGTACTGACTCTCCCCAGAACTTCCTCGCCCTCTGCGCCTCAAACTACTACACCAACTCCACCTTCCACCGCCTCATCCCCTCCTTCATGATCCAAACCGGCGCACCCCCTTCGCAACCCAAAGGCGGAACCTCCATCTGGTCAGGTCCCTTTGCCGACGAAATCCGGCCGTCGCTGCGACACAACGCGCGCGGCATCGTCAGCATGGCCAACAAAGGTCCCGACACCAACGGTTCCCAATTCTTCATCTGCTTCGACAAGGCGCCGCATCTGGATGGGAAGAATACCGTGTTTGGCCATGTCATCGGGGATGAGGGGCTGAAGACTTTGCAGAAGATGGAGGCCGTGGAGGTGGATAGGAAGAATCGCCCCAAGGAGGAGATGAGGATTGAGAGAGTTACGATGCATGCGAATCCTTTGGCGGGGTGAGGAGGGGTATGGGTTGGATGTTGGTTGAGACGCTTTATTGGAGTCGTGGATTGGGAGGGCTCGGCGTGATTATCAAATTGGGATTTGATGATGACCGTTGGGTGATTGGGGTCGATACATGCTGTTTACAGCATACGAGAAGAAAAGCGCTACTTCCAAAAACCCTACCAGAGAATAGGACAGCGGAGGAGCAAAGAATATATCCACCCAGCCATCCAATCTCCAAAAAGGCAATCCATAATACATACAAGTGATCTCAAACTCAACTCCTCCTTCTCTCCCAACCAACCGCAACCACTCGCAGGCTCACCTCGGCTTCCCATCACGCTAGCATCCCACGCCACAGAAATACCCCCCACGTCCGTTAAAGATCCAAGTAAGTGCCCAGCCCTCAATCATTTACACGCTCCTACGGAACACGTCTATCTGGCTTAGTAGTAACACATCTCTTATGTTACCACTAAGACAACGGCCGTACACACTGAAATATAGTACCTATTAGCTAAAAACAGAAGAGCGCAGGAATAATAGCCCAATAGACAAACTCAGTACGTCTAGTTTACGCTCCCTAGCGACACTCAAATAGTGTTTAGACTTTTTGCAGTTTTTTTTAGGGGGGCATATCAGCCCGTTTTATAAAACCTCGCGAGGAACGCTAGAAGTAAAAATATGGGATGGCTTTTGATATACTATGAAAGCTCTATTCTTTTTCTTTTTTTGAAAAAGAAAAAAAAAAGGATACCTACCCAGTGAAGCTCAAATGATCTACTAGAACATATCTCTTCTCCCTCAATTTCCTCGCTCTATTTTCTTGGTGTAAAGCTCTATACGACGGTACCAGAATTACAGTCACTAGAACAGGAGTTAAAAGATATTTTAGACAGCACTCTTTTATCATACATAGCATTAATAACACACGCCGGATTATAAGTAAATACCCACTATATCCAGCAATCAAGCCCATCAATCCATTCTACCCACCCAACACAAAAACCCTCATAATCCAAACCTCCTCACCGACTCGCAGCCCCCCCAAAAGTACAAATTACAACACTCCACCCATCCATCCTGCAATCCATACACACACTACACCTCAACCCAACCCCCCACCCTAAAGACCAACTATAAAAAAAGCCGCCGTCTGAGTAGGAGGAGCGATATACACATGACTAACATGGTTCCTCAACTTCCAACGTTTTCAAAAACTATACATTGTACAAGCTTTATATGCCGAGGGCTCGGAGGAGCAGGAAATGCGTGGTTTGTGGGGAGGGAGGCTGCGGGTTTTGCTGTATGCAGATGGTGCGTGATGGAGGTTTGGTGTTGGGAGGCGGAGTGGAGGGGGAAGGGAGAATGGGGTGTTGTTACTTTTTTTTTTTTTTTTTTTTTTTTTTTTTTTTTTTTTTTTTTTTTTTTTTTTTTTTTTTTTTTTTTTTTTTTTTTTTTTTTTTTTTTTTTTTTTTTTTTTTTTTTTTTTTTTTTTTTTTTTTTTTTTTTTTTTTTTTTTTTTTTTTTTTTTTTTTTTTTTTTTTTTTTTTTTTTTTTTTTTTTTTTTTTTTTTTTTTTTTTTTTTTTTTTTTTTTTTTTTTTTTTTTTTTTTTTTTTTTTTTTTTTTTTTTTTTTTTTTTTTTTTTTTTTTTTTTTTTTTTTTTTTTTTTTTTTTTTTTTTTTTTTTTTTTTTTTTTTTTTTTTTTTTTTTTTTTTTTTTTTTTTTTTTTTTTTTTTTTTTTTTTTTTTTTTTTTTTTTTTTTTTTTTTTTTTTTTTTTTTTTTTTTTTTTTTTTTTTTTTTTTTTTTTTTTTTTTTTTTTTTTTTTTTTTTTTTTTTTTTTTTTTTTTTTTTTTTTTTTTTTTTTTTTTTTTTTTTTTTTTTTTTTTTTTTTTTTTTTTTTTTTTTTTTTTTTTTTTTTTGAGGGTTGGGTTGGGGATGAGGGGTTGGATCAAGTATTTCCTTTCTTTTCCTTTCTTTTTCTTTTCTTTTTTTTTTCATGAAAGAAGGGGGAGGGGGGTTGAGGAGAGGTAAATGAGATAGAAGGTGGGAGTTTCTTGGCAATATTTTTGTGGGAATAGAGTGAGGATGTTACAGGGATAGTTGTCTCTATTTTCAAAGTCGCTTTTGAAAGGGAGAAAGTAAAGCGAAAATAAGAAAATAGGAAATTAGGAAACAATCCACTTCTCACCTCTGGAGTCTATACCTTCAAGACTAACCCAACCTAACCCAACCCAACCCAAACAAAAGAACTAGTTAGAAAAAAGCGCCCCTATCCATCCCAATCACTTAAACGACCCTAAAGCCAATCCTCATCTATTCAATACCTTATCCTAATAAAATATCTAGATATAGATATAGACATAACCGACGAAATTCTCAACGCGAACATATAATTAATACTCTCTCGATTCATACACATCATACACACCACTGTTCTCTCCTCTCCCTTTCTCTCTTCTCAATTCCCACCCTCGAACCCACCAAGCTTCACGGAATGATCGGAATACAGTAAGATCTTACCTCTATTTACTATAAACACTCACCTACCTATGTGCACATAACCCACATGCAATACCCGACTATTCAACACCAACCACGTCAAAACAAACCTCAAGAACACCAGATACATCAAAAGATGTCATGGAAGAATTAATCAACCAATCAACCAACCAAAGCCAACACACCTTTACCAACCTCCAAGCCTCAAATAGAAAATTTGGCATAAATGTGTCACTAATTTCCAACTTACAATTCAATTCAAAGAAATAGGTAAAAATACCCAATTCATACACACACTCATACACACACCCCTCCCACCCATGCTTCCTCACTTCCCCACTTCCCCATTTTCTTTTTGCTATGTTAAGCGAGCTATTCTTCAGTACAAGCCTCTCGCTTCCCAGCTCACTTCTTCGTTCCCTGGCTTCGCTTAACTCATAATGCGAACTCCTAACTTAGCGAAGGAACCCCTATCCCTACCCCCACTCCCCTTTTTTCAAAAGGAGATACAGGGTTAACATGAATCACAAACATAGCACAGTCAGTTAGTCAGTTACTTTAGGCGAGGATGTGAATAAATAAGAACACCGTGTTTTGAAAACTTCAACCTTTTTTGGCTGCCTCTGAGGGAGGTAGCCTAGGTGTGGATTTCATCTCCTCTCCGTCAAGAAATAGGTTTCTGTACTGTACACATTCCATGCCACCCATTCCCATCGCACCATTCATAGCCATCAACGAACCCAAAAACTGTCCTCCCCATATTTACTCCCCTCACCCATCCATCCCCTATAATTTTCACCTTTTTTCACTTTTCCATCACCTTCGCCCCCATTCCCATCCATCCCCTACAATTTTCACCTTCAACTTTTCACCTTTATTTTTTTTCGGCCTCTCCACCCATTCCCATTCCCATTCCCCTTCCCCTTCCCGTCCTATCCGATGAGAGGGTACGACAATCCATCTACATCAGACACCCAACCTTCCTACTACTCCCCACCTCCCCAGCACCTAGTCTCAACCTCTTTCCGGGACCAACATTAACAAAAGCCTCGACGAGCCACTCATACCACACCTTACGATCGTCCGTCTGCCGCCACATGGTGATCTCAAGCTCGGAGTCGTCGGGGAAGTAGAGTGGTGTCTGGGTAGATCATTAGTATCGATTGAGCTAGCGAGCGCAGGTGTAATGGATGTGAAAGGGGGACGAAGGGGTGGTAAGCGTAAGCGAGAAGTGCAAAATAAAGAAAGGGAAAAGGCGGAGGAGAAATACCTTTAACGGGAAGAAGATGGGAAACCAAGATATCATATCCTTACTCTTCCCATCAATCCCCTCCAACCCAGGCACCGTACTCAGCTCCGTCTTCCCCGCCGCGCCATCATAAAGCACCGCCTCAAAATATCCCGCAATCCCATTCACAATCCCGCGATCACGACAGACGAAGGTCAACCTCGAGTATCTCGAGTTATGTTCATTAGCACCGTCACCACCACTCATACCACCCCCACCCCCACCACTGACACCGCCTCCCCGGCGCGCCTCAGCGATAGCGAGGGTACTGGCGGGAAGAGGATGGACGAACTCCCACGCTTGTTGAAAACGACGATGGTCAGGAACGGAGGTGGCGAGGTAGTCAATTGCATGCAGCATCACAACGTAAGGGGTTTCCGTCGCCGTGGGATCGGTGGTTGCACGATGGGAGATGTCAGCGTGGAGACGGGGTGCAAGGATAGGTGTAAGATGTGCAGTATAAGAAGAGGGGATGGAAATGCCAACTCCAGGGGCAAGAACGTGTTGAACACCATCCAGACATTCAGGCGAGAGCTCATTGTCCGCAAAGGAACCGAGGAGTTCGGAGACGATGATGTCGACTTTGCCATATGTTGGGGTGGGAACTGTGGAGGAGATGAGTGGTCCTTTCCAGGCTCGCATGTCGCTTTTCGCCACGTTTACTACCCGACCCCAATCTTCTTCGTTGTGACGTTGGAGTAGGACGTAGGCATTGGGGTTCTTTTCCACGGCCCAGACTTCAACGGCTACGCCTGTGCTTTGACTTGCTCGTAAAGCACGAGTGACTAGTGGCCCACGACCTGATCCAGCAACTGCTATCACCACAGCACCGGTTGAGCTAGAGGTGGGTTTGCTTTCCTTGACCCAGTCGGTGAGTGCTTGTGCAATGGCACGCTCGTACCAATCATACTTGACAGGATCCTTCTCAAAAACCTCATAAGTCACTGACTCGAGGTTATCGGTAAGTGGTTGAAGGGGTGCTTGGAGGTAATCCTGATACCCAGACCCAAACCTTTCAATAGTGGATCTGGGAGGTTGGTTTCTTTGCAAATATCTCATGTAGATGAGATGGGCAGCCGGGTCTTTCAACTTGGGCTTGCTTTTTTCCTTGGCTGCCAACTCTGCAGTTTCTGCTGGAGTGGGAGACATGGAGAGATCTCGGGTGGCATCCGCAACTGCACTTGGAGATGGGAATCCGTCAGCAGTGACGGTGAGTGATGTTGGATCATCCAGGCCAGGAATTGGTCCGACGTCTGATAGTAGGAGCCACGGAGGTTGCTTCAAGCGCATGTATCTTGAGAGAAGCGCCTGATGACCTTTAGAAAGAACGGGATGACCGCCTTTGTTTTTGAGAAAACTTGTGGGGGTGAAGGTAAGTATTCTCAGAGGTTCGGCAAACCAACGGGATTGCAAAGGTTCCAGTGGTAACTGGCGAGGGATTCCAAGAGCTATGAAGACATATCAGCTTTGATTCAAGCGAATCTAGAAGACCTTATAAAATATGATAGTATTACCTTCAGAGTGGCGGAAATACTCCGAAGGGGTTCCGCTAGTAATCAGTTCCAAGCACAGTTCTCATAGTCTTGCCAAAGTTCAAAGGGGAGAACGAATGAATTGTATTGATTTTTCTTACCTACTGAAAGTCCGGAACTGTATTTACACACACCACGGATAACATTCCACGCATCCCAAGTCTCAAACAACTCCACCTCCTTCTTCGCCTGGGATTTGAACAACGCTGCTTCCTCCCTGGCAAAAGGTTGTAAATCGCCCGTCATATCCTTAACCTCCACATTGCCGTACATGGGAATCTGAATTGCAATCTGGATATAGCTGCCGATATTAAGCGCCTCCTGAATGGCACGGGCATACTGAATCAAGCCATTGTTATCCTCAATCGCACTACTGTACTTCCTTGGTCCGGGAATGATAATATGTCCCACACCACAAAACGACGCATACGCAATCTCAATATTCAGGACCTGGCGAGAAATATTCGAGATCAGCGGATCGGGGGAGCACAAATCGATCCACGGACTGGAATACGCGATAATCTGCGAGAGCGAATCGCTCGGCGTCAAAGGGGTATCGACGGGGTCAAGAGGAGGAATTATCGGCGCGGGAGGAGCAGCACTGGTGGGTTCTGCGAGGGACAGCTCGGAGAGGTAGGCGGAAATCAAAGTCAACACTCGGGAATGGAAGTGTGGGCTGGTAATGGGACTGGTGAGCATATCATACTGCGAACATACCATTAGCATTTCTTCTTCTTCAATCAAGTGACGAAACAGAGAGCATACCCCGACATCCTGGGCCTGTCGCAGAACCATGTCTGTGACAGGCACAGGCCGTTTCGACTCATGATGGCCAATATAAAATGTGGGTGTGAAGTCTTCCATTGTGGGGGATTCCTCTGATGTGCTTAATTGCGCGCTCGCCATTTTGAGAGAGGGTAGACGGCAATATCAAAGAAGAAAATCCAGAGGAGCAAGATCTGCTATGGAGGAGGGCGAGGGCGAGGCACAATATTGCACAACCGAGACTCCCGCTTGTCCTTATCACCTTTTCGATTCTTCCACTCCCACCATTACTGTATGTGCGACAAGAATTAGGTTGGAGGGGATGCCGGCGTTGACAGGGTTCCTTGCTGTTGTGGAACCGAGGCTCTACCGGATTGATAAACGTCTGCCTTGACCGTGGGATTGTCCCACTACTCAATTTTTCGGTTTAATTGCTAGCTCTCATTGAAAATTTATTTTCGGACAATACAAGTAGCTGCTGAAACTTTAATTCAAACCATTTTCAACTTGAAGTTAGCAACGAAGACCTGTGAAGTGAGAGCCGGTCAATGTGAGGCGAACTAATCAAGCAATCATACGTTCAGGTTAACTCTACTAAAGATAAATGAGCAATCAAGAAGATTCCGATCAATCACTTTTAGACCATATCAAACCGTTAGTAAGGCAAGAACGTAGTAGATAAGAAATTAATTGTTCCCATTCCCTCCACAACGTCCATTACACGACATCTCATTAATTCCTTGCGAAATCGGGATATCGTTTTCAACAGCAGCGCGAATTGTCTAGTAAACACCTTCCCTCCCTTTCGCTCCCTCAGCATCGTGTGCTCCATTTGCCAGTGTCAATTTCAATTTTGTCCCGTCCCTCGCAAGTGATTCCCTCAAAGCCATCAAACAAACAAGAGCTAGTAATTCCGTTCTGAGGAAAGAAAAAGAAAAGATGAAAAAAAAGGAAAAGTGTGTGGCGTACCGCACACGAATGCGAGTAGTAATTTGTGTACAAGAACGCCATATGTAACAGAAACCAAGCAGAAAAGAAAATATCCATGAACAAGCCGTAATGAGTCTTACATCCATACAAACCACTTCTCCCGAGCACGTAATTTCGAATACCAATGCAGCCATTTGAAGCGATCGATTCTTCGTCAAATCGAATACATCTTCTAGGCAAAGGACGGTTTTGTCAAAACTCGATACTCAACATAATCCTCTCCTTCGATGGTGAAGATTTGAGGAGCACTGACAAGCTTTCCTTGAAAAGGACCATTTTGCTTTCTCTCGTACTTGATGCCATTGTGATATCTGACCTCATCCGAGGCACTGGCAACTGAGCCGGAACTTTTTGGGATCGTGGCATTTTGTTGAGCAACCCAAACTTTGTTCAACTTTTTAAGATTATTGTTTAACTCCATCTTGGCAGCCTCTTGGACAAGACTTTCCGAGAGAGCTACCTCCTTGCGAGTCTTCTCATGTTGTCTTTCAATGGCTTGGGTCTTCTCCTTTCGAGCCTTCTCCATTGCTGCATCAGCCTCAGCTTGTTGTCTGGCATGAGTCTTTTGCTCGGATCGAGAACTGTGTCTGGTCTCCATCTCAAGTGGAGGCGGTCGAGGCGAGTTGTCAACTCCGTTGTTGAGACCTTCGGAAGCGACAACGGCTTTGGCTCTTTCGACAGCCTTCAACTCATTTTCCATGCGAGTACTATCGGTATCTCTGTCAAGCTCCTTTTGACGAATTCGGCAATACTCCTTGACCTCAGGTCGTGTCATTGTCGATAAGTGTGGTTCAAAAACAACTTTGTCGTAGTGAAGCCATAGAGCTCCAGCTCCAACTGGGAAATTGCCATCTACATAGCGACCATCTCGAGTGACTCTTTGAACCTTGACGCGAAAGCAATCTGTTCCACTTAAAACACCAAACACGGCATGCTTATCTTCTACAAGAGGTTCAGTAGAATCAGCCCAATAACCCAACATCACGCCATGTGGTTTTCCTTCGCTGAATGGAGAAGCTTTGGGGGTCTGGATATTGGCAGCATTAACAGCTTGAAAGCTGTTGGTCTTGCTAAGTGATTGACGTGGTAGCGAGTGACGGTGGGTTGTACGACCAACGGAAGGACGATGGACGATTGGCTTGCTTCCAGGTGATGCAGTATCCTCAACTACTATTTGCTTGGCCTTTAAGACAGCCTTGGCTTCGGCTTCTTGGCGCTCTTCTGCCGTTACTTCTGTCTTAGTTGCAGAACGAATCTTGACATATTCCTTCACTTCGGCGGAAGAGAGCTCTGCCAGGTGAGAATCGAAGACGATTCTTGGAAAGGTGACCCAGCATCCACCAGCACCAAGAGGAATATTACCAATAAGCTCTTCGCCTCTACGGTTCATGCCATAGATACGAGTTCGAAGCCTATCGTGAATATCGATGAAGCCATAAATTACGTGTTTGTCAGCATCATTGGGCTCGCTGGAATCACGCCACACGCCAATGATGACTCCTCGAACTTTTGCCTGATTTCGTGGTTTCTTTTGAATTGGCTCAATCTCTTCTGGAGCACGGGCTTTGTCTAAGCTGACAGAATCATTGTCGAGATTGTAATTAATGGATGTGCGCTTTCTCTTGTGCAACGGTGTGACGACATCTTCATCTTCGTCCTCTTCGGGGTTGAGCAAAATGGCGGGTGGTGAGTTGTCTTGATCTAGAGAGGGACCATCGACGATGATGCGCTCGCCCTCAACCTCACGAGCCGGAGTGACCCGAGATGATCCGGAAATCCTGAAATTTGGTAACTGATTTTAGCAGGTGCTTGTGGTTTCAAGCATCGATGGAGCTTAGTAACGAAAAAGCAAGGCATCGCCCCAACACGTGTCAAGGTAATGCGAAACCACGAAAGAAATCGGTGATCATGACAAATGATGAGTGGTAAGAGAAAAAATGACAGAAAGAACGCGACCAGAATTGTGCAGCAAGCGATGACTGGAATCGAAAGCAGAATCGCTTATGCATTGCGCGTGGTGTTGGGTTGGTCGGTCGCTATGCAAGGCGCAGTTATGCTAGAAGCCTGCAAGGGAGCGATAATCCAAAATGTTGGTAATGTCAAGAGGACACGCAACCAACCTCAAACGGGAAAGGTGATGGATGGCAAGGAAAGAAAAAACGCGATGAAAAGCAGAAGAAATGAAGCTCTCGCGGGTTTCCAAAGGGAGTGAAAGGATCGCGAGCTTTGAACGGGAAGAGTTTTGCCATAACAGCGCAGAAAAAAGCGAAGAGAAAAAAAGGAGACTTACGGGGTTGGACTTCTAATTTCAGCAGGCGTATTCTGCTCAAAGGCATCCAACTCCATGCTCGCCGTGCTTTGACTGGTCAAGGAGCCGTCCGACGAAAGGGTCGGCTCTACTCCATCCATGCTGGTGATGGCTTTGTGTTGGAGAGTTTGCGAAGCTGTATCGTATCGCAAGATGAATTGAAATTCAATGAAAGTCGGGGTTTCTATTGCCTCGATAATGTTGGTAGAGGAAGAAGAGGTTGGGAGTTGAGAGTTGATTGTAGAGTTGATTGTAGAGTTGATTGAAGAATTGAATGGTTGAGGGAGAAGGAGCAAGTCGGAAGGGAAGGCCTCAGCGCGAGCGAGGGAATGGAGTGGGAGCGCTAATGAGACGCAGACGCAGAACGCCGGAGGTAAGTGGAAAAGGTTCAAGCGAGGGATTCCGGTCAGGTTGGGTTTCGCTGGCTATCACCTATCAGAAGCGCCAACCAAATCGGATTAGATTGGCACTAGTCGTCCCCTCGCCGTAGACATGAGCATCACATCCAACAATCATACAATATTCAATCATAAGCCCCAAATTTATCCTTCTTCAAGGAGCCAGGCAAGGCAGCAAGGCAAGGTAAGGCAGTACCGTAGTGCGAGGTTACTTTTTTGCGTGCAGGAGGGAGCATGAGCATGAGCATGAGCATGAGCTGCAGTGCCAAAGAGTGCAGCTCGATAAATCGACACAGGCACGCAACGCAGGCTGAGAGCGCAGGCATCCAACGGCAAAATTCTGTAGCCAGGAGGAACTGCCTATTGTCGCAGGATGTTGCTTTTATTGCTTTTATAATTAGATCAAGACAGAGTGCACGTGTTGTACGAGCTCTTTACAAATTACCGAGTACTCGCCCACTACGTTTGTGTATCTGCAGAGAGCCGTGAGCCCATAAAGGGAGCGTGAGAGCGAGAGCGAGAGTGAGAGTAGTGAGCGAGAGCTTAGAGCATGAGCCAAGTTTGGAGGTAAGCTGGAGCTTAGACAGTAGAAGAACAGCCTACGGAGCGATTGACTTTACGGCACCCTCCAACGTGCTCCACTATCCAAAGCGGCACTCGAATAGCTGGCTGGAAGTCTGACAAGATCTCCAATAGGCTTGGCTATTGCTACTTGCGTACGGAAGAATTACTCAGAATGCGATGCAAGATAACAAATCATTGCGAAGTCCTCTCAACTCCCCCTTGAAACCTGGATAAATTACCTGGCCATGTCTCTGCCACAACTCTCGAGTGCCGCTTTCACTCTGCAGCTGTGAGAATCGCCCCTAACTTTGCAAAGCCGGTTGTCCGTACCCAGCCCTGCAAGAATATTAATTGTCATTATTGTTGCCATCCTTGAAACACGACTGGCCAACACACTCCATTTATCCAAATGCCAATAATTCCAAGTGCGAACACATCACAGTATATTCAGTTAGCTTTGATGGACTTTCCTATCTACCTCTCCCCCTCCCTCTCCCGCGCCCCCCGCGACCTCCCCGTCCTGCGCCACCGCCTCGCTTATTGCCTCCAGCAATCCCTTGGTCAAACCTTTCACAGAGCTTTTCTTCTCCAAACGCTGTTTCGCCAAGTCGCAAATAGCTGATGACACCTTGATCGATAACAGCCAAAACTACATTTCGCCAGCCATGTTTCAAACGCTGATAAAGCTTGGATGGTCCAATCATATCAGCTCCCGGCGGATCCCAAGGCGTGCTCTCCAACAAAGAAGTAAGTTCTCTCAAGGTCGGAATCAACGTTGACCGCGAATTGGTGACTGCAACCCGAACATCCGGTAGTCCTGGATGTGTTTTGGTAAAGGTGGGAGCGCTGCTGGGCTTCCAAATATGAAAAACCACCCGATAAGGATCTTCAGGTGGAGATGATGGATCTTGTGGCACAGCTGCTGGCTTATGTCTAGGGATGATGGCGATTTGCCGATAGATGGCGTTATATGACCTGTACATGCCCGGCTTTACCAATGGCCCAAGTGGTTGGGGCTGGATACCTGGTTCTGAAAAGAAACTGCCAAAGAGCCAAGAAAACATGCTTGGGGACTGCTTGATAGATGGCACGTCTTCAAAGACATTCTTCTCTCCAGCTTTGGTCGCATACCATGCGGGAGCTCTAAGCACCACATAGCCAGATCTTTTGAGATTGGTGTATACATTGTATCTTTCCAGAGTTACCTTACCTCTTTCCCCATCCTTGCCAATTAAGAGAGCATATGCGGCTTGTAAGCTCATGGGGAACCCTTCATCCAATTGTTCTTCGCTCTCGGCAGTCTGCCCACCAACGGTATCCTCACTCTCCTTATCATGGTACACTCCTCTAAATGAGGATCGTGTGGGCCACCATAAGTCGAGATTGCCTCTCTCCACCAAGTAAAGTGCTTCTTCCGGAAGCAGCCATATACTTGAGCGCTTTTGACCTGTAGTTGATTTTCCCATGCTTTTCCAATGGATTCCTTTGGCCGTCTCCAATACAACTACATGGTCGTCTTCTAAGCCTTTCCTCCATTCTGGTGGAACGACATCGTCTCTCAACAAGCTGCCCCCATCCCCGTAGTAAAAGGCTCTCGTATGATTTTTTGCAATATGAAATCTGGTATGGGCTAACGCATCGTGCATAGCCTGTCTGCTTGCCTCGAGAATGCCATCTTGATGCTTGGTACCGTGTTGTTCAAAGTCTTTCTCTCCGCGTTTGGGCAATTGACCTGATTTTGTGTTTAGCGCTGCAAGAAGCCGGAAGTCTGGAGTTTCATCGCTCGGGTCGTCGTCTTCATCAACCTTCGTATGTAAGAGGGTAATTGGCGTGTCTTCGTCCATTTCTGCCATTGTCACGGCGAATTGATTTCGGAGGTGTTGAATAGTAGAATTAACTTGGGGAAATATTTTTGTGAGTCTTCACTCTAATCTTGTCAGCCTTGCGCACCAGGCGGAGCCAGGCACCCACCCGCTTCAACTTTCAAGGCTGACTCCGCCTCCGCCCCCCGACCAGAGCCATCCGGCTTTTCTTTACGTTCTTACTTTACACCACATCGGGGCTGGCTACTGGATTTCTCAACAAGACCTTCATCATGCCAGTCAAGAGAAAAGCTTCATCAAGTATGAGCTTTTGATTGCTCTACTGTATTGATCTTTACTAACTGGTGTTTCCCAGATGTTCGAGGTGGAACAAAGGCAGGGCGAGATTCGACAACCTCAACTCCAGGCCCCAACACGCCACGCAGTATTGGCAGCAGCGACGAGTACTCGTCTGCCAGCGAAAGCGAAAAGGAGCGCATTGAATCGAATATAGATAAATTCTCGTTGGAACGCTTCAGCGCAAATAATAAACCTGTTGGGCAAAATGGACGAGACTCCGCCAGTCATCACTTTACAAAAGGGACCGGCAAAAGCAAGGACTTTTCATACTTGTCACTGAAGCCGGATCATGATAATCGGCCGTTATGGATTGACCCAGAGAATGCTCGAATTATCCTCGAGAGTTTTTCTCCGCTAGCCGCTCACGCGCAGGATTTCCTGACAACTATTGCTGAACCGCTGTCCCGGCCGAAGTTTCTACACGAGTACTCTCTCACAGCACACAGTCTTTACGCCGCAGTATCTGTTGGATTAGATCCAAGCGAAATCATTAGGACCCTCGATCGGATGTGCAAAATGCCAGTACCTGACAATATCCGAGCGTATATTACCGAGTGTACGCAGAGTTATGGAAAGGTCAAACTTGTGTTGAAAAATACCAAGCATTTCGTGGAGAGTTCGGATCCAGCCATGTTGCAAAAACTTCTGAAAGATGAAGTAATTGGACCACTTCGTGTACAAGGAACTGAGGATATCACAACGACCTCTGCCCCTAAAATGACTGGATTGGTTATTCCAGGTACCAAGAATTTTGCCGGTGTACAGCAAGCAACAGATCGACGAGATGTGGCAAAACTAGATAATGCTCAAGAGGAGATTATTGCTAGTCTTAATGAAGATGACGACGATGATGACGAAACCGAGGCTGTGCATGCATTCGAGATTGCTGACGATGGCGTTGAGATTGTCCAAAGACGGTGCTTGGAACTTGGTTTGCCCGTGCTAGAGGAATATGATTTCCGAAACGATACTGCCAATGCGAATCTAGACATCGATTTGAAACCTGCTGCTCAGATTCGACATTATCAAGAGAAGAGTCTGAGTAAGATGTTCGGTAACGGACGAGCAAAGAGTGGACTTATCGTCTTACCGTGTGGTGCGGGTAAAACCCTAGTGGGAATCACGGCTGCTTGCACTATCAAAAAGGGGGTCATCATTCTTTGCACAAGTTCCATGTCTGTCATGCAATGGCGATCGGAGTTTATCAAGTGGTCAAACATCAATCCCAATGATATCGCGGTATTCACCTCTGACAACAAGGGCAAATTCTCCGGCAACACTGGAATTATTGTCACTTCGTATTCTATGGTTGCAGCAACTAACAAGCGATCTTATGATTCTCAAAAGATGATGGATTTCATTCAAAGCCGAGAATGGGGTCTAATGATTCTTGATGAGGTTCACGTTGCACCAGCCAACGTCTTCAGAAAGGTCACTTCTACCATCAAGACGCATTCCAAATTGGGTCTCACGGCTACCCTCCTTCGTGAGGACGATAAGATTAGTGACTTGAACTTCTTGATCGGACCAAAACTTTACGAAGCAAATTGGATGGAACTTGCAGAACAGGGGCATATCGCTCGAGTTCAATGCGCCGAGGTTTGGTGTCCAATGACGACTGAATTTTACTCGGAATATCTCAAACAATCAAGTCGGAAAAGACCTCTGATGTGGACCATGAACCCTCGCAAATTCCAAGCCGCCCAATTTCTGATAGATTATCATGAGAAGCGTGGCGACAAGATCATCGTTTTCGCAGACAACATTTTCGCCCTGAAAGCTTACGCCACCAAACTCAACAAGGCCTTCATTTATGGAGATACGGGTAATGCAGAACGCATGCGAATATTGGAAAATTTCCAACACAACGACAAAATCAATACTCTCTTCCTCTCCAAAATTGGCGACACGTCACTCGATCTACCAGAAGCAACATGTCTCATTCAAATCTCCTCGCACTTTGGTTCCCGTCGACAAGAAGCCCAAAGACTTGGTCGCATTCTTCGGGCCAAGCGTCGTAACGATGAGGGCTTTAACGCTTTCTTCTACTCTCTCGTGTCAAAAGACACACAAGAAATGTTCTACTCCTCCAAACGACAAGCCTTCCTTGTCGACCAAGGCTACGCTTTCAAAGTCATCACTCATCTCCAAGGAATTGAAGATATGCCCAATCTAGCCTTCAACACGCCTAGTGAACGCCGTGAACTTCTTCAAAACATTCTGCTTGCGAATGATGCAGATCTCGAATTTGACGATCGAGGAGATGATTTGTTCCATGCACAGGATGGAAAGAGCAAGGTGAAGAAGATTAAGAAGGCCATGGCACGGCGCACTGCCGGGGCTCTTAGTGAGCTCGCGGGTGGACAGGATATGGCGTATGTGGAGATGAACAAGGTTAAGAATAAGGAGTTGAAGAAGAAGCCTGCTTCCAATCCTTTCTTTAAGAAGTTGCAGAGGGATCAGGAGAAGAGGAAGAAGGCTTTTGAGGAATAGGGGTATGGCTAGTAACAATAGTAATGGACACTTGGGGGCAATTGCAGGGGGGTTTCACGTGATGGGATGGATGGGATCCATGGGATGGGAAAATTGTACTTCTTAGATGGATGGGGATTTTCCTTTTTTAGCAAGGCGTTTGGGGCAAGAGGTGCTGGGCTGGGTTAATTAGGAGAAAATTGTAATATATTAACTCGATCTTTTGCGACAGAAATAAGAATAAAAATGAAATATGACATAGATCTCCCTTGCTGTTCATTCTTCTATTTACTTCTCATATTTTATCTACCTTCCTTGAATGTATGATCTTAACCGCTTAACCGTCATATCCCGGAACATCAGGGCATATTGGCATAACACCAATGCATAATAACTTCATACTATCATCTGTGGCTGATTCACAAAAGATATCTTTAATCTATCCAATAATCCTCGAGTATCTGTCTCCCTCAACTTGTCACTTGATGACCACGATACCTTACCTTACCCTACTAATTCCACCACAGAAGCCTAGAAAACTAGAGCGCGATAAAATAAAACAAAACAAAAAATCCTCTCATGAAACACGTTTCCTTAATCGTTACCGCGAAAGAGCTGAACATCCTCCAGCCTCAGCCTCCGGTAGCGAAAATTGGAAAATCCGAACTTGAAATTTACGAGTATCTTCTTTCTCGTTAGTTCTCATATATATATATCCCTAGCTATCTACCTAAGTCGTGAGATGAGAATCTAAAACGCTGTTGGACGTCGAATTTGATTTTCGGAAGACGTTGGGGTTTTCGAGATGTCTTTGATTTGGTTTGGTTTGATTTGGTTACTGCTCACTTTTACAATTTTACGGTAATATTCTCGGGTTAAGTCGATGGATGTTTGTGAGGGTAAGTGTACGACAGTACGAGTAGAGTATAGAAACTCGTGATGCATAGATAGAGGTGAGGAAGAGTGGTGGTGGCCTAATGAATGATTTTCATTCGCGTGACCTGATTTAGGGGCTTTTATTGTTTGAGTGGTTTTGATTTTCTGAGTGAAATGAGGAACTGGAATTCCGGGACGATCGGAGTGAGTATGGTGAAGGGGTTACATCAAGTATTAATAAGAAGCGATGATTGGTTCTGAGAAAGAGGAATATCAAGTGAATACACTATTCCCAATTTTTTGCTCGACTGTGAGAGAAGTCAAGATATCAAACATGGAGCACAGAACAGAAAATATTAAATCTATTAATCTCTATCTAGGTATCATCTTCACATCCAGCATCTCGTCATAACCCCCAATTCCCTCACAAAGCTCCCTTCTCCCCTACAACCACCGTCTCATTCCCCAACGCACTCCCACTCGCACTCGCACTACCCTCCTCATCACGCACACGATGACTCTCAGGCGTAATCACACTCTCATCATCTAACAAACCCGCAACAACATACTCCTCATTATTCAAATCCTTAAACACGAACCAGAACGCAATCGCCGACACAAAGCCCACAATGCTAGGTCCAGCAAAGGCCCAAGTGATATGCGGATCCTGGATCGCACTCGTGGTAGCGAGGTTAACCGCATACTGGATAGCGCTCATGAAGCAGTTGATGGCCGAGACCATACCGCGCATGTTCTTGGGTGCACGTGAGTAGGCGATTCCATAAGCCGTGACGTTGACCAGGATTTCCGAGGCCGCGGTGACGGTTACGGGGATGGTGGTCCACCAGATGGAGATGGGTGATACGAGGGAGACACCATCTGCGTCGACGCAGGTGAGACTACTTGCGAATTCCCCGCAAGGTCCTGTCTTGTAGGCGTAGTATGTGATGATAGCCCAGCCGATGGAACCAATAGAACAGATCATCATTCCCGTAGTGATTCGTGCGATCGGTCCAAAATGGATCTTGTACTTTCTCAACAAGGGGTAAAGACCATAGTTGAAAACTGGGATACAGAAAATAATGATCAAGGGATTGAAGTTCTGGATGAGATCGTTGGGGACACCCGTCGTGGTAAGCATCACGGAAAGTGCGTCTGCCGCACCTCCCAAGCCTCCGTCATTGATGAAGAAGATGGGGAGGAAGATGAAGATCCCGCAGGCTTGGGCGGTGCGTTGACAGTCGGTTACGAATTGGTCGTCCCAAGATACGGTGCGTGGGTTGGAGCTTTGTGCGAGGACGGATGGCCTGGCGGCGTCCCAGAACTCGTTTTTTCCCATTTTGCGAAGACCGCTGCGACGGAGACACATGAAAACTACTTTGCAAAAATTTCCTAGGTCGGAGCCACCTGGCTTGTGGAGGACGAGACGAGGGTAAACCCACTAAATGGTGAAAGTTAGACAGATTGTACTTGTGGGATATGAGAGAGGTTGGAGAACAAGGAATAAGAGACAAGCGAGAGAGTGTTTTTGAAGGGAAATGTTTTACATACCCAAAGAAGCGCAGGAAGCAAGAAGTATAGAATTCCTGGCAAGAGGAAAGCAGGCCAGAACCCAACAAATTTAGCGAGGTAAGCAGTGGGTACTCCAAAGAAGCCTCCAATGTTGATCAAAAGGTAAAACCACAACATCATGCGTTCACTTGTCGCTTCAGGATCAACGACAACCTTCTCTCCAGATTCAAGTAGTTGAGTTGTTGGTTTCGTGTGAGGATTCTGATCGAGGATGACGACTGAAATATTGGGTTTGAAAAGAGCTGTACATGTGTTAGAGAACGTTATTTCTTGGTAGGACATTTCACTTACCACCACCAATGGCCAGAATGTAAACTGATAATAAGAAGGGACCTTCTGCGTGACCGGCTTGAATGACAGATGGAAGACCAGCGATAACCATGATGACTAAAGACCGTAAACTTAGCATTTATATTTCAGAGTTCATGTAAGGGTAGGGAACTTACCATGAGAAATTCCGCAGATTGCAATACCAACAGCAATGGTCTTGAATCTACCCCATTTTGCATCTGCGAGCCAACCACCAAGAATCGGTAAAGCATAGACCAGGAATCCAAATGAAGAGGTAACGGCAGCGGCAACTACCGTTCCCTTTCCAAGAGCACCAGCAGTTTGTTCGGTTCCCCTTGGAGGGGCACCAGCACCATTTCCTCCAACAGGTAAAGGTCTGTTGACGAAGTTGGAGAAAACTTGCTTGACACCGAGAAAACTGGCACGCTCAGCAAACTCGACAGCGCAGAGGACATAGGCTGTAGCAGGGATTTTTCCCGCTACCCTTCGAAGAGAACTCATTTCTTCGTCAGTTGAAGCTTCGCCATAGTGCTCATGTGCATCAACAACATTGACTTGTGGCTCTTTCTCATCGAATTTGAGAGACTCCTCGGACCCGGAGGCCTGAGGTTGGACTTGAACTGCTGCTACGTCTTTTTAGGAACTCGGTATCAAAAGTTGAACAAGAAGCAACGTACCCATGGTCTTTGTCTTTCTCAATTGCCTTTGGCTCTTGATCTGACTGACTCCCTTGAAAGTTTGGCGGTTAGCTGAGCTTGAGTACCAAATCTTCCAGTGGAACATTCACTCTCTTTATTGATATCGACAAAATGCGGACCCCCTGCCATTCCTTATCTTTAACCCGTTGCCTCTGCCTACGTGCATGTTAAAGACAGGCATTACTACCTGGCAAGAGTAAGCTGCACGATATGCGCGGTATCTTCATTGGGCTTCTCTGCCCGGATGGACGATAGAGAGAAGATCAGCTCGGGGAATGAAGCACGTTAGAAACCACAAATAAATGAAGCGACCAATGGGCAATTAGAAGTACATTTCCAACACCATGGTGGCCAAGGGACTAGACTGCCAATTCACTCTGGTATGAGCAATCTTCGCCATGCGAATGGCTGGGAAGCAACCTCGGTAAACGCTAGAAGGATATTGACTGCACGGAAGAAGGCGAATTCTGAAAATGGAATGTGAATAGAATGAGAGAAGCCTCAATTGCTTCTTCTGGCATGTTGGACTTCAAACTCTCCACTGGTGAAGCTCTAAATAGTTGGTAAAAACTTCTCACCAACATCTTGGTCGATCGTCGCATTCAAGTCAAGTTTGGTCCAACCTCTGGTCAGGAAGACGGCAAGAATGCTAAAGGATATCGTGCCGTGTCCCGAGGCAAATTCAAGCGATGAAAAGGGTATCCACTTGATAAGAGATGGACTGGGGAGAGCAACACGGAAAAACGCCAAGGTGGCCCAGAGAAGTGGGGATGCAATGGAGAAAAGGACGTTAAATTTGGGGAGGCGACGATAACACAGGATACCAAGGCGTATACAAGCAATTTGGCGCCTAGAGGATTTTCCTTTTTAAAAGGCTTGTGTCAACTTCATTAGAGTCCTGAAAAACGAGAGATGGATACAATGAAGATGGGTATGAAGCAAAAGCTGACCCCCTTTGGTGCTGAAGATTCGATGTAGAAGAATTGCGATGAGTCTGTCGCTGATCTACGAAATAGGTAGGTACTAGTACCCAGTTAGTTCACGATACTCCGAACAGGCACAGGCACTCGTATGATTGGAAGGAAGACTGATCCCGCGCTGGATTGAAACTTCGCCACTCGAACGTCCGAAGAATTTTCCAAAAAGCGGCTCAGTCGGCAAGCAACCTCCTGTAAGACCATACGAACCATCCAACAGATTGTCGTACGCAAATACTTTGTAGAGTTCTGTTATCGGTGGTGTTGTCAGCAATGGCTACCGGTAACTTCCCCTGCGTGAGCTGACTTTGGGAAGTTCATCGCCAAGACCCCGGATTTTCATTTCTCCATTTCCATCTCTGCCTCATTCCTGCCTCAGGAGTACATAACGTCAAATCGCGTCTTACCACCAAAGAAACCCAACAACAACTTCAACACAAGACAACAACCTTCCCAAAAAGGGAAGAAAAATGTCAACTTCAAGACCCCCAGCCGCAGGATCAACCTCCCAAGCTCCTGCGGGCGAAAAATCCTTCTTCGAGCAACAAAGAGAACTCCTCTTAAAAGATATAGGAATCGTCCGTTTACTCCATCCCTCTTTGCCTGTCCATCAATTGCCAACTAACACTCCAAAACAGTCATTCGAACACGTCCTAGCAAACATAAATAAACTAAATCGTTCGCTGGAAGGAGTCATCGCTGTAAGTATCGAGGAGATATGTGTAGGTGAACAAAGCAGGGGGCTGATATATGGAAAACAGGTCGGAAATGAATTCAGTTCTGTCGAAGCACTCTGGTCAACTTTCGAGAATGTCATGGCTAAGGATCCGGATGCGGAGGCGGAAACAAATACCGGGGAGGAAGGGAGAGAGGAGGAGGAGGGTGAGACGGAATTACCAGCAAATCGATGAATTGAGACGAGTCGCTGTAGAGGAAGCGGAAACGGTTATCACTTCAAGAGGGTGCAAGGCATTACGACGGAAAGACATTTGGAAAGAGGCGTTCGGATCACTATACCCAGGAGTTTGCTACATCAAAATAAGGAGCAGAATTGTTATTATCAAAAAGATTGACATCATGTGTTTTATTTGGTAAAATTTCCTCGATGCTACAGGAGAAAAAAAAAGAAGGTCATCATGATACATAGGAAACCCGCAGTGAAGTATGTACCAATTACCACACAAGAACCCTATTACTCAACAAAAGAAAGTAAGAAGAAAAAAAACCGGCAAATGAAAAAAAAAGTCCAAGAAGAAAGGACAGAACAAAAGTCCAGGAATATTGCATTTCCCTTTTGGCCAAAGTTTTGTTCCATATGTCGCTGCCTATCCACAAATGTTATCCTTAGCCATTTCCCAGCAATCTGCTAGAACGTTTTTGCGTTATGCATTCATGTCGTGTCAATGTGTCGTAGTCGTCTCAAGTCATATTTCAAGAGGCGTTGTTGGTTCAATTAAAGGAACTTGCAACTCCTCTTCTTCTTTTTCATCCTGCCGCCTTGCTGTTCTATACCCGAGCTTCCTGGTCCTGGATGTTGTTGCTGGTTGCTCTTATCGTTCTGGACAACGATGTTGATGGCGGCAGTAAAGATCTCATCAACACCTGTCATCTCCTTACTACTACATTCCATGTATCTGGCTCCCATTTTTTCCGCTACGGCCATTCCTTGATCCTTCGTGACGGGTGTTAGCCCTTGGGTTTTAAGAAGATCGATGCAAGTTCTCTTGGTGCGGAGATCGGATTTAAGACCAAGGAGGATGAGGGGAGTGTACGGACAGAAATGAAGGACTTCTGGGTACCACTGCGAGACTTGGGTTAGTCCTGAATATACACAGAAGGGATTCAACATACCTTGTCCATAACATTCTCGAGCGAGTTGGGGCAATCGATAGCGAAACAAACAAACAATAGATCGGTCTCGGGGTAAGAAAGCGGCCTCAGACGATCGTACTCCTCCTGACCTGCCGTATCCCACAAGGCCAACTCGACAGTTTTGCCGCTTGATGCGTGGGTGGGGTATGTGATGTAGTTCTCGAATACAGTTGGGACATATTTCTGGAGATCGATTAGCCTCGATCTGAAGAGTAGAGTACATGGCTTCGTACCTCTGGAAAGTAGCCTTGACTGTAACTTATCAGAAGACAAGTCTTCCCGCACCCTCCGTCACCCACAACGACGATCTTTTTCGAGTACGATGGGCCCTCTGTGACATTTGTTGCGGCCGATTCACGGCCCGTAGAACCTGTGCTCATCATGGTGCTGACTGTTCCGTCACTCGATCTGGCACTTTGTTGGCGACGCGCTGAATTCCGTCGTGGTGAGGTGATTTTCTCTGACATATCCGAACGACGGGTGTGGTAGTTATGTTGTTGATATTGCGCCGACATGGTTGCAGCGGAAGTCGTACTTTCGCCGGAACACGGATGGTGAATCGTGCAACGAGGTGAAATCTGAGTTTTGGGTGATGCTTTTAGAAATACAGGAGAGGGTTTTTGACGAGGATTTTGAGGATGGGATGGGAGGAGTCTAAATCACTTCAACTTTGGGTTCAGAGAAGGAGATTGATTTGAAGGGTTTCCTTGAGGAAGGAGCTACGAGTATGGCTGACTTTGACTTCCAAGTAAGCGTGTAAACAAAGCGGACGGTTGCCGCACAGCAACGGAAAACCAGCCAAGACCTTTTACAGGTGGTCATGCAGGTGGCGGGTTATTTTTACTCCATGCACACCCCCTAGCCTTGCTGCTGCCTCGCCCGCATTGGATTTCGCATTCGCAACCGAGGCGCCCTAATCCCTAATCTGCCTTATCCTAGCAGACCGCACCATCACCAACGCAACGTCTCTGCTGTCCATTGTCGCTCCTTCATATCTCGTGGACTCTGACTTCGACTTCTCCTCCTTTTAACCCAAGAACGCACTCACAATCTCTATCCTATCGCACATATATTATATCTTCCGAGCGCCGAATGCATCGATGTGTCCCTCGAATGGCTCTGGCCCGAACGGGCTTGCGAGCGCCCATAATGCCCCGCCTCCAACGATAGCGATCGATGCGCCAGAAGATGTGCCAGATGCCGGATTACGAAGTCTGGATCACTGTAAGCTATTCCGACTCGAGTGCTTGCGCTCTGATCTTTCTTCATCTCATGATGCCGAAATCATGGCTATCAAGTCGATGCCATACCGAGTATGCGCCGACAACTTTGTCGCATGCTCAAACTCCCGGGGGGTTTCTTGTCGTATCGGGGAATCAATATCTCAAGACACCACTTCTGATGCGCAAGAAATCGTATAATATGCGCTAATATACTATATAGACAAGCGCAAACTTCCCCCATGGCGGTACGATATACGGCAGAGGCTCCTGCCCCTCATTCGACTGGAAACACCATATTTGGCATGGATGCAGGACAGGATGCGATCGCCTGCCCTAGATTCTTATTTTGCAATCACTGCCAATTTGGGAACGCATACATTTTTCATGGTGGTTCTTCCGATTCTGTTCTGGTGTGGTCATACATCTTTAGGTCGAGGGTACAGAAGTCTTGTTCCACCATCGCGGGTCATTACTGACTGGTTTTAGAATGGTACATATTTTGGCTAGTGGTGTTTTTATCACTGGCTTTCTCAAGGACTTTTTTTCTCTACCTCGCCCGCTGTCACCACCTCTGCAGCGCATCACCATGTCGGGTTCAGCAGCGTTGGAATATGGTTTTCCTTCGACGCATTCAGCAAATGCAGTTTCCGTAGCGGTTTATGCTTTATTTGCTGTTCACTCGCCTGATTCCCAATTACAAGCCTCGACAAAGCTTATTATTGAGATTGTCAGTTACTCCTACGCCTTTTCGATCGTTCTCGGGAGACTTTATTGTGGAATGCATGGTTTTATGGATGTCATTGTCGGCAGCATTATCGGATCACTGATATCGGCCGCCGAATGCATCTATGGACCAGCCTTCGATAAATGGCTACATAGCAGTTCCTGGATAGCACCAGCCACTATTGCTCTTGTTATCATTGGCTTGATTCGTATACATCCCGAACCAGCGGATGATTGCCCCTGCTTTGATGACAGCGTGGCTTTTGCTGCTGTCATGCTTGGTGTTGAATGTGGCAATTGGCATTATGGCACGGGGGGCTGGGCATGGAACTTTCCTGTGCCAGCGACAGTGCCATTTGATCTAGAGTATATGGGCTGGCCTATAGTGTGTGCCCGCGTTCTGGTAGGAGTTCTTACCATATTCGCTTGGCGAGAAGTAATGAAACCGGCATTACTCAAGTTTCTCCCCCATTTGTTTCGATTGATAGAGAAGTATGGTTTTATTCTACCTCGAAAATTCTTTATGCCAGCATCCGAATACCACAACATCCCTTCTCGTCTAAAGGTAGACAATGTCATGCCTTCCGTTTCTGACCTCCCGGGTCTTCTCACATCGATAAGACACCCTGGTCGCGGCCGTGCGGTGTCAATCGGACCACAATCCGCAGCAGATGCTTATGAGACACTGGCCTATCGAGAAAAGAGAAGAAGAGACAGTTTGACTAACTCAGACATGGCCTCTGGTCGGTCTGATCGATCGAATAGTAGATCTAAGGGCCGTTCTCCTTTGGAACACCACGCTGACCAAAACGGTCATGTGGTGCAGGCTTCGGGAAATTCTGATTCCTTGAATGCCAATACTATAAAGCTTCCGACTCCTGCTGAGTCTAGGGTTGGCTCATTTGAGAAGATGATGGGCCAAGGGAATGTTACTATTAAACCCGCAACGCCTTCACCAGGACTAGAGGAAGACGATGATGAAGCAGTTATAACAGTTGGACAGCGTAATGAAATTGAAGAAAAAGATTTGTTCTCTAGGCTCGAACAACCTCGTGTGAGATATGACGTGGAGGTCGTCACCAAACTTGTTGTGTATACAGGTAAGATATTTCACTCGTTTGAAAGCGGTAGTGCTGACGTCGATTTTCAAGGAATTGCCTTATTGGCAGTGGAGGTCAACCCTATGATCTTCGAGATAATTGGTCTCGGGATGGGCCAGCACATCCCAACTCGATAGCACACGGTCTGATACCCACTGTGCTTTGAAACTGGCTTTCGCAGGGGCTTTGGGAATAGCCCAACTTCTGGCTTAGCTAAGGGCTGTTCCCCCTTTTTTTCTTGGATGATACCATGAGCATTACGCATGGCTGCTTGTATACGAACGCAGAATGACAGATGGCGTTTATTTGGAAATTGTGGTTGAGAGCTGGACTACTTAATACCTAACTTCAGTCGTTCATACTTAATGCAAAGAATGGCAATTTTTTTGAATTTGCTAGGATGGAGATGAGTGCTGCTTAACCCAGGCCTCTCTATTGCAAGGGAGGAGTTCTCCGTATTACGTTTCTTCCCTCTCGCGCTTTCAACGAAGGTCGTTCTGAGCTTACGGCTGCGTTGTCGATCAAGGCTAAGATTAACTCCCTGAGCATTGAAGAATCTTCATATCACAAGTCTCTTGACTTTGACGGGTAAGTCAAGTATGACTCAGCACATAAACGAAGCTAGTAGACATTATTTGCTTTGATAAATTTTGGTTGTCCTCGAGCTCTCGGTAGGTTCATTGGGTTGCTTTTGGTCTAGAATTTTCGACTGAAGTGTTTTGGTTCATTTCGTTTGGGGTGTGGAATTAGTACATAGATGATAGGCCTTGACTAACAGGCATGAGTACTGCACATAGGTATTTGCCCAATAGGATATATATCAAAATCTCCTGTTTCGGAGTTGAAAGCCTTGGGATATAATTGTAGATGTAACTGTTAAGGTTGTGAAAAGAAATGACGTTGATAGGTCAACGGTATTTAGTGGATCCTGCCGGTGTCGGAAGAGAAATCGGGGGGGTTTTCACCGCCATCAGATTTCTGCCAGTGGAGAGTCATAATAATTTAGGAAGTGACGAGTTACTTCAGGTAACACTTGAGCTTCTTTGTTACTCAACAATCTGCGATTTTTTTCGTCAGGAAACTCTGTCAATCCAATCCCGCCCTTATGGGCACATAGAGTTTCTTTGATCAGAACAACCCCTTCGAGTCCGAGTTCCATCTCAATCGTAGCCAGCAAGCATGGCCTCAACCAACCCCACCACGATTAGCATTTTGGGAAAAGAAGATATCGTGGTAGATTTCGACATTTGGCGGAATTATGTCGCCCAAGACCTCTTGGCCAATCTCCCTTCCTCGACCTACGTTTTGATCACAGACACGAATATCTCTCCGATTTACGTTCCTGCCTTCCAGCAGCAGTTTGAGAGCATCGCAAGCAAGTCCGATGCGCTTCCACGGCTTCTCACTTACGAAATTCCACCCGGCGAGAATTCCAAAGGTCGAGAAACCAAAGCAGATATTGAAGATTGGATGCTGTCGCAGCAATGTACCAGAGACACCGTTATAATCGCGTTGGGGGGAGGGGTCATTGGGGATATGATTGGGTATGTGGCAGCAACTTTCATGAGGGGGGTTCGCTTTGTGCAAGTGCCAACAACTCTACTGGCCATGGTAGATTCTTCAATCGGAGGGAAGACTGCAATTGATACACCAATGGGCAAGAACCTCATTGGGGCTTTTTGGCAACCACAGAGGATATACATCGACTTGCGATTCCTCGAGACCTTACCCGTTCGCGAGTTTATCAATGGAATGGCAGAAGTAGTTAAGACCGCGGCCATCTGGAATGAAAAAGAATTCGCGGCATTGGAGTCAAATGCGGAGCTTATTATGGCTACAATTCGTGCCAAACCTTCAGGGAAATGTGCCAGACTCGATCCAATCCGAGATATTTTAAAGAGAATTGTTTTGGGCTCAGCAGCTATCAAGGCAGAGGTAGTCACAAAAGATGAACGGGAAGGTGGGCTGAGAAATCTTTTGAATTTTGGTCATTCAATTGGTCATGCCTTTGAAGCAATTTTGACACCACAAGTCCTCCATGGAGAGGCCGTGGCAATTGGTATGGTAAAAGAGGCCGAATTGGCTCGACACCTGGGCAAACTCAAACCTGGAGCCGTGGCACGTCTTGTCAAATGTATTGCCAGTTATGGGCTACCCACTTCGCTCCAGGACAAGCGGATCCAAAAGCTTACTGCTGGAAAGGGATGCCCAGTAGATGTGCTATTACAAAAGATGGCTGTTGACAAGAAAAACGACGGGAAAAAGAAGAAGATCGTTCTTTTGTCTGCTATTGGAGAAACCTTTGAGCCGAAAGCAAGTGTTGTGGAGGATCGTGCAATCCGAATTGTTCTGTCAGATTCTATCATTGTGGCACCAGGAATTCCAAAGTCACTCAACCATGAGGTCACTCCTCCTGGATCCAAAAGTGTCTCCAACCGTGCATTGGTTATGGCGGCACTTGGAACTGGTCCATGCAAAATCAAGAACTTGCTTCATTCAGATGACACTGAATTCATGCTTTCGGCTGTTGCAAAACTCGGAGGGGCTACTTATGAGTGGCAAGATGCAGGTGAGGTATTGCTTGTAAAAGGAAAAGGTGGGGATCTCACTGCCAGCTCTGAAGAAATCTACATCGGGAATGCTGGAACCGCATCTCGATTTTTGACGACCGTTCTTTCACTATGCAAACCCTCAACCGCTTCTTCAACCATTTTGACAGGAAACGCCCGTATGAAGGTCAGACCAATTGGACCATTAGTAGACTCTCTTCGCGCCAACGGCGTAGGAATTGACTATGTGGAAAAGGAGAACAGCCTTCCTGTCAAGGTTCAAGCTTCTGGAGGATTTGAAGGTGGTGAGATTGAGCTTGCTGCTACTGTCTCTTCACAGTATGTCTCCTCAATTCTTATGTGCGCACCATATGCCAAGAAACCCGTCACATTACGCCTTGTGGGGGGAAAGCCAATTTCTCAGCTTTATATTGATATGACCACGGCAATGATGGCCACATTTGGTGTGTACGTTGTTCAGTCCAAGACTGAAGAACATACGTATCACATTCCCCAGGGCGTTTACAAAAACCCTGAAGAGTATGTGGTCGAAAGCGATGCAAGCTCGGCAACCTACCCGCTTGCATTGGCAGCCATTTCAGGAACCACTTGCACCATTCCAAACATTGGATCCAAGTCGCTACAAGGAGATGCCCGTTTTGCGGTGGACGTCCTTCGTCCCATGGGATGTTCCGTAGAGCAAACTGATAAGTCTACAACAGTGACTGGACCACCGCCTGGACAACTGAAGGCAATTGAAGAGGTTGACATGGAACCCATGACCGATGCCTTCTTAACAGCGTCTGTTTTAACCGCTGTTGCAAAAGGCACAACCAGAATCAGAGGTATTGCAAATCAACGTGTTAAAGAATGCAACCGAATTTTGGCAATGAAAGATCAGCTTGCAAAGTTTGGCGTTGTATGCCGAGAATTGGAAGACGGGATTGAGATTGACGGAAAGCTTATAGACACATTGGATAGCCCCGGCCCTGAAGGTGTATACTCTTACGATGATCACCGTGTGGCTATGAGTTTCAGTGTACTCGCAGCTGCAGCCCCAAAACCCGTGCTAATTCAGGAGAGGGAATGTACAGGCAAGACATGGCCCGGTTGGTGGGATATTCTTTCCCAGTCATTCAAGGTCAGTCTCTCTGGCAAAGAAGTGGCAGGTGCTCATGAAAAGCACACGAATGGAAACGCTTTATCAGATAAATCTATATTCATTGTCGGCATGCGAGGTGCTGGTAAAACCACTGCTGGTGGCTGGGCTGGCAGTCTTCTGGGTCGACCACATATTGATCTAGACATTGAGCTTGAACGAACGCTCGGCATGACAATTCCAGAATTGATCAAGAGCAAGGGTTGGGAGGCGTTTAGAGAAGCGGAGCTTTCTCTGTTAAATCAGGTACTCAAGGAGAAGCCCAAAAATTATGTGTTTGCATGTGGTGGTGGCGTGGTTGAGATACCTGAAGCTCGCCAGATGCTTTCAAACTACCACAAATCTGGTGGAATTGTTCTCTTGGTACATAGAGATACTGAACAAGTCATGGAGTACCTGAAAATCGACAAGACAAGACCCGCTTATGTCGAGGATATGATGGGAGTTTATCTGCGTCGAAAACCTTGGTTTCAAGAGTGCAGTAATTTCCAATACCACAGCAAAGGAGGAGAAGCTGGTGCCTTATCGATCGCGCAAGAAGACTTCGGTAGATTCCTGTCACTCATATCTGGTCAGAGCAGTCACTTCGAAGAGATTCGGAAGAAGGAACATTCTTTCTTTGTATCCTTGACTATGCCAGATATCTCGTCCGCGGTTGGCTTATTACCCATCGTTGCGGTGGGTTCGGATGCAGTTGAAGTACGAGTCGATCTCCTCGAGGACCCTGGTTCATCAAACGGCATTCCTACGATTGATTTTCTGAGTGTCCAAATCGCGCTACTGCGATCCGTCATTGCACTTCCGTTAATCTTTACTGTTCGAACTGTTAGTCAAGGAGGCCGGTTTCCCGACAACTCGGAGGAAGAGGCGCTCAAACTTTACAAGGCGGCCGTCCGAATGGGTTTGGAGTACATAGATCTCGAGATTGCATACTCTGATGAACTCCTCGAGGAGATCACCAGCGCAAAGGGATTCTCAAAGATCATTACTTCGCATCACGATCCTCGTGGTCAGCTTTCCTGGAAGACTGGAAGCTGGGTGCAACACTACAACCGAGCTTTGCAATACGGTGATGTGATCAAGTTAGTTGGATCTGCCAAGTCAATGGTGGATAACTTCGACCTTGTTCATTTCAAATCTATAATGGCGAAAGCACATAACGTTCCTCTGATCGCTATCAACATGGGTTCTCAGGGTAAGCTTAGTCGGGTATTGAATGGCTTCATGACACCAGTGTCGCATCCGGCCCTACCATTCAAGGCTGCTCCTGGTCAGTTGTCGGCAGCTGAGATTCGCCAGAGTTTGTCGTTACTCGGTGAAATTGAACCCAAGTCGTTCTACCTGTTTGGCACACCCATTGCTGCCTCGAGGTCGCCTGCACTACACAATACCCTATTCAAGCAAACCGGACTGCCCCATGAATACTATCGTTTGGAGACAGATCAAGCAAAAGAGGTTGAAAAGGTAATTCGCGCGTCAGACTTTGGCGGAGCTTCAGTCACAATCCCACTCAAGCTTGATATTATCCCTTTGCTTGATGATGTTACTCGAGCTGCGACAATAATTGGAGCAGTTAACACCATTATTCCAGTACCACAAGATGACGGATCAGTCCGTCTCATTGGTGAAAATACAGATTGGCTTGGAATGACCCATTCTCTCATCTCGAGAAACTACTCCACCGTTTCCTCCGGCTCCCCAGGGAGTGCCCTCATCATCGGCGCTGGGGGTACCGCCCGAGCTGCCATCTACGCCCTACAATCCCTCGGCCACAGCCCCATCTATATCGTTTCCCGCACGCCCTCCAAACTCACCGCTTTGATATCCAGCTTCCCATCGGAGTTCAATATCGTCCCTCTCACTCACACCTCCGAGGCCGAGAATCTATCCGATGTTCCTCGTGTAGCTATCGGCACGATTCCTGCTGATCAGGCTATTGAATCGAATATCCGTGAGATTTTAGCAGTCATCTTGAGACATCCCAAGGCCAATACGAAGGCTCAGTGGACGTTGCTGGAGATGGCTTATAAACCTAGTGTCACGGCTTTGATGCAGATGGCTAGTGATGCTGGGTGGGTTGGTATTCCAGGACTGGAGGTCTTGAGCGCGCAGGGATGGTACCAGGTATGTCAAATTGCCCCAGTGAATGGGAATATCTGGATAAGAAGCTAACTGTTCAATAGTTCCAGAAATGGACTGGTATTAGACCCCTTTACAATGATGCCAGGGCTGCAGTCATGGGTGACGCTCCTTGATGAGCGAGAGTGGACTTTGCTTTGCTTGAAGGTTCAAAAGGTGTCAAAAAAAAGCGACATTATAGGACTAGGTAGACCAAAACTTCTTTGCAAAAAATGAGCGTTTTTGTAGAGCGGGTTTATGAATAAAATTACATGTTCCTTCTTTCTTTCTTGTGTGAGCAGTTGATCTAGGTGATTAAACGAACAGTGTTTTCCTTGATACGTATGCGAGAGAGAGTCTCCTATTATGAATATAATCTATTCAGTGGACTTTCAGTTTTGAATGCTGAATGGTCTTGGGTGTTCAAATGCTACGAAAGCCACATACGATGAATGTAAGTGACGTAAGTTAATTCCTCCTTTCTCTCTTTCTCTCTTTCTCTCTTTCTCTCTTCGCTACCTCTATTCTCTTTACCTTTTGGGGTTATGAAATGATGAGCTTATTTATGAGAAGAGCTAGAATTTAACAACTGGATAGCGGAATTCGATAGCAACTTGCTATTGGTATTGGTATTCAAATCACGATTCACGATTCACTATCCCCTCGCTTATCTCCCACTGACCCTATGAATTCTCTGCATACTGCCTACTTCAAAAAGCAACAGCAAAAGAAAAGACGCAAAAACAATCGGTCTCGAACCCTTCCCTAGAAGCGCGGAGCAGCAGTATCACCAGCTTCCCCACCGTGAACATAATCTACATAAAGAACCATACTCACACCTCTCCTCAATCTCCAACATAATCCCCCAACCACCACCCAACACATTCGCGATATCGCATTCAAAGGTGCCATATATCCAAATTGTTTTATTTTACACACATCATCTTCATCCCAACCAATTCCCAAACACCCCATCGTTGACATCCAAGATCAGGCAGTGAGTTCAAAAATGGGAACTCTCGCTCCGAAAAGTTCTTCCATTCTCATTTTCATTCAGATGTTTCGTGAATCACTCTTCATTATACCTCACTTCCAGCTCCCAAGACCCCACACTGAAGGGACTCTCGCCTCATGTTTGACGTTCTTATTTACTACGAGACATGTAGTACAGAAATAGGAAGGGACATACCCTATGTTTATTTCTCGTCTTTCGGACTTTGTGTTTGTCGGCTTAGGTAAGATAAAAACACGGCTAGAAGTCACGAGCTTGTGAGCAGAAGGGACCTCGGGAAGAGGGAAACGGTATCTTGTGGATATCCATGGGATACCAAACCTGGATCGCCAACAGACTTGAAGGGAAAACTGCTTGAAAGAAAAAGAATGGGGGGGTCGGAGAAAGATTAATGGACTGCAAAGAAAGGTTGCAACATAATTGAGCCAGATAGCATATCACTATCACTTGGGCAACTTCAGAGCGTAAAAAGATTTTCCATTTCCCCTGAAGACGCCAGGTATCATAGCAAAAAAAAGTCGGAGAAACAGTTTGTTGACTGTCAGAATGCTTCTTTTATTTTCGAAACTCCTAGAAAGCCAAATGCAGGAACCCCGCAACCCTTATCAAGACCCAGTGTAATGCATTTACTCGTCATCATCATCTTCCTCGTCGGCCTCAATGGTGGTTTGTGCGATACCTATACGAATGTTAACAAAATGCAACAAAATTCTTGACAGAGTTAAAAGCTTACGGTCCAAATCACGCTGTCCGCTCTGTGTGATACGACGGCCTCCCTTCTCCTCATCCTGCTCCAAGACACCAATCTTCTCAAGAGCTTGCATAACCTTACGGTCAACGCTTCCGGAAGCATCAACGTGATGCGATGGGCGGGATCCACGGTTACGGGTAGATCCGTGAACCTTTCTTAACCGACCGACACCGACGGTCTTGCGGAGGTAGACGTGACGGGCGATGGAGGCGGCACGAACGTAGAACCAATCGATGGATTGTGGTGGGAGCTCCTTGGCTGGACCGGTCTTGACGGTATCAACCCAACCTGAGATATGTTAGCATACTAATGTTCTCTGCATCTCCGGGTTTTGAGAGGAGTAGAAGGTGAGATAGTAGTAAATGCGCAGTTTTCATACCTGGAATTGGAAGCTTTCCCTGTCTCTTCAAGAAAGCAGAGTAGGCGTTGATGAACTTTTGCGCCTGCATTTCAACCCTCGAATCAGCATTATTCCGTCAGCAGAGGTCTCTCCGACCCCCTCGCGCCTGCTCTTGTGTATCATATCATCATTCGAGAGATCGAGGGAGCTTGCGCGTTGCAAAGGTATATTTGCCGTAGCGCAACCGGCTTTCCAGCTTTTTCCATCTTTTCGCGATCCCCAAGTGTGTGCACCCTCCGCTCAATCGTAGGGCGTATTTATACTCACATCAACATCGCGAACAGAAACTCCTCCAGCCATTTTTGCGGTGGGATTGGGTGTTCGAAGGATTGTCGGTGGTTGAGAATTTGGCGGATGAAGTCGAGTACAAGGCTGGAGGAGAAATTTACGATTCAAATCACTGTGGGATACGCGAGGATGAGGTCTTGGCAGCACGTGAGGGGAAGCACGGTCTAAGCCCGCTCGGCCCGCAGTGCCCCGACCCCGACCAAGGCTCCGAGGTCAAGATTGTTCCAGCATCCTCTGAGAAATATATTGGATGGTAGAATAAAGCTTTCAAGACATAAATTCGTGTTATCCATTTTTTTAAAAAAATTCTTGGCGTAAAATTAGTAGTTTATGCTCGTAGATCTCAACATTTGTGGTAAAACTGGTCACTTTACTCAACTGTCATCCATTCCTTCGCCTGCTATTACGACGTCCATTTGTTGTCAGTGAGTTTTTGACAACCAAAGTTTAGGAATTAACAGACCAGAAAGAATTAGAATCAGAGCAAGGGTTTCCATTTCATTCAAAGTTTTATACTAGCATTGTTAACATGGATATTACGTCTGATTTACAATACGAGATATCTTCCAGACTCCCCAGTTGAGACTACAAGATTTAACAAGGCTAGTTGCAATTTTTGTACCCTACAAGAAAACAACTTAATAGCGAGGGTTACAATCTCTGATGTGACCGTCTTGCTCAGGATATACACGTGCTGACAGAATAGTGGAGGCTATCATAGAACCTCATCTTTTGAAAGCAAGACCTCGCGATTAAATGAACTAGGACATCTGGTGACATTGTATTGAACGAACACTTTCAAATCGGTGGAAGGAGAGCAATCGACAGCAAATTATAACAGACAAAGAAGACAGACAAACCTTCTTACAACAACATTATCCAACAATGCAATTGGGTCGGAGAATTGTTCCCAGACATTTTCCCTACTTCATAAGGGCCGGTCCATCTTGGCTCCAGCCTATGCGACTTGTGAGACCTTTGCTGGTCGTGTTGTGATCTCACCAGAACCAGGTCTTTTGGTGGGGGTGTTGTCTTTTCAGTCCGTTCCACAGTTCTGATCTGCTCTACATCTGCCAGATGTTTCCGAGCTGCCAGACCTCTCATCTCATCTGTCCTTGCTGGTCTTTGTTCTCTCTTGCTTGTTTGAGTCGTCAGCATTGCTCGATGAATTTCTTGAAGTTCTACAGGTATGTATGGATATCTTCCACGCCCTGAGACTCAAAGTTTCGGGAACCTTGTTAACTCAATGTCACCACTCCAGCTCTATACAGTCTTTCATACTATCTGTTTGAGCTGCCGCCACATGAGAACATTATTCAAGTTCCCATATACGCTCAAAAAGACGGAAGATTGATTGTAATTTATACAATTGAAACGTTTTGAAAAACTTAATTCGCCCCACAGTCTTCATAAAGCATATAACGACCGATTACCACAGGTGTACTGTACCCTCTGAGAAAATAATCATTCTAAATGTGTCATGCAATGGATCTTGGCCCCGCAAGATATCGTTTGAGTTCCTAGCTCTGGTAAAGCACTCGTATCCCTATTCAATAGCGCCAAGTATCCAAAGATGTTATAAGAATTGATGTTGTCATTATTCCAAAATACGACATTGGTTCACTGACTAAGCGAGCCATTAGATATGAGCAATGTAGCCCAATACGTAACAATCCATGGTATATTATTCTACCTAATTGTTTTTATATCTACTTATCTAGTATAGTCTCAAGCAACCCAAGAAGCATCTTCTCACAGCTGAACCTGAAAAAGATAATTTCAAACAAGGACATACTCATAAATCCACCACTGAACCAAGCCCAAAACCCAGATAATAGAACGGGAGTTGACCTCACCACCATCATTCCCCTACCAAGTGCTCTCACAGTGATATAATAATGTGACCCACATCTCAAAACCTGCCCTTGGACCACGGAGATTTCAAGGTAGATCACATGATCATAAACAAAAGACATGGAACAAACAGGAAAGACCCCCAACTCCAAGCCAAGCTATCAACACGAGAAAGCCGCATATGAGATACGAGATACCATGACGATCAGATCTAATAAATCATCCCAAAGTAACCTCGTACCTGAAGCTTTTCCAAGAATTTTTGCATACCAGGTTCGCAGCAAGAAATACACCATAGTGTCCCATCAATTCATTAATTCCCAACCCAAATCCGCTCACCAGCCCTCGGCAATGAAGATCCAAGAAAATAGTAAATACTAATACAAATCCGAATTACCATTCCCGGATCTTGGTAATGTATATCCAGGTAATTCACAACACCATCCACAATTGCAAATAATTCCACATTTCCAAAATTCTAAACATAGAAACCCCATTCCCAAGCTACCTTATTAGCTAACCCCACCTGATCTAAGCCAATAAATAATCAAGAGATCCAAAGAACTCCCGCCCCAAACTACCGAGCCCGCAGATCGCGGGAACTGATCTAGGTAGGGTTCCTGATAAATGGTCTCATTCCAAGTGGACCTTCGTTCACCTTTCGCTTACAACTTACTGTAGCTCGTGTAGATACAAAGTGGCTAGGGTATGGTGTGGTGTGGTGCTACGCAATTGCTATGTCATACCCACGACCCCTAATGTTTCTTGTGTAATGGTACCGAGCACCTCGGTTGGTTCGATGAGAATAGATATTTCTCCGGAGTTAAGTAATTATCTCTTGCATTCTACTGTATTGCATCTGCGATGTCGGCGAAATGCACGCCAATGCCGGGCTATGTTTGTGTTCGAAAGCCTGTGTGTGTGGTAGTACCAAAGTAAGAAATTTTCTTTTCGTCAGTGTTTCTGCTGTGTCGCCTCTGCTTTTTCCGGGGAGATACATTTCCCAGCGCCTGTCTACTCTAGCTGGGGAAAATAACATAGCCGACTCTATAGACGGACGCGCTTGATTCCAAAGATCTGATTGATCAAATCCAGCATGGCATAGCACAGCACAGCACAGCACAGCACAGCACAGCACAGCACAGCACAGCACAGCACAGCACAGCACAGCACAGCACAGCACAGTAAGAAGCAAACAGCCACACCTCATGACTCGGCAGTCAGTCTCAAATAAAAAGGCTTGCAAAAAAGAAAGAGAAAAAGAAATATACCAAAGTAATGTCCAAAACAACATCCTAATCAAGAAAACATTTCCCATCCCCACAGAATGGTAACAGCCCAGCCATCATCCGCTTCAAAACGTAAGTAAATTTAAGTAAGCATTTATAAACACAGCAGAGGGAAAAAAGCAAGTACCATTCCCTGCCCTGCCGACCAAGATCCAAACAAAAATAATCTCCTAAGGCTGAGCGCGAAAACGCCGAAACAACCTCCAGGGTTCCCAGGTTCCCGTCCAAGATAATATCATTTACTTGGGACCAGCTGGGGGTAGTTTTTGGGCTTGGTGGGTGTCCGTTCGTACCTATCGATAAGCACCCCCAATGTTCAAGCGCGGTGCATCGGACTGGATCTCTCAACACCCTCGGTTGAAACTCGGGCTCGGAATTGGAGGTTCTTCTTTCTTCGGGGTTCTCTTTTCTTTGTTGGGGAGGAGCGGGAGCGCGGTTTGTTGGTGGGATATTCATGTTTACTTTCATTCGGGTCACTAATCGACAATTATTTAATTATTTCAGGAATGAGATAGGTCATTGGTGAACGCAGTCTCCTAATCGGGGTGCGGACAAGAATCTGACTAAAAATTACCATATCATGTATGCTCCACCAACGTAGCACTTGCACCGGGTAGGTATGTAAGCCAGCCAGCCGACCGACAACCCACCTAGCCCTACGAAAAAGCAAAAGCAGGATTTTCTATAATGATCACCAAATCGTACGATCTACATCATCCAACCAATCCAGTGCAGTCCAACCCTTCCCAATCTTCTAAAAGTGTTCGAGAAGAAGAAACCCCATCATGTAACGGTAACCACAAAGACATTCTAGAAGCCCTTCTATTTTGCGACGCGAAAAGAGGGAATGGAAACAACGGGACCACCGAAGGATGGGATGGGAGACAATTCTATTTCCACGGACCGGCGGAAACAGCCGATGTTAGGTCTTCTTTGTGTCACCACACCACACCACACCCACGCGATTCAACGTGGGATCTCTTCAGCCACATCCTAAGATGTGTGATCTGGACCCTGCTTCTTTATTCTGTTTTCCATCAATGTGCTTCATGAAACCTTTCATGTACGAGTAAGTAAATCTCCCTATCTCGACTCAGCTCAAAGCAAAATCATGAAATAGGAAACCGAATCGCCAAAGGATGGGGGAAAGGAAATGGCCGTCAATATCAAGACCTAAGACCCACGGAAAAATTCCCACATATTAAGAATCTGACATTATGTTTACGAGAGAGCAATAATGCAGGGTGTCAGCTTTTGGGATTCTTTGCAGCATTCTAGAAGCCGTCAGATTTGCATTTATGGGCATCGTACTGCAGGTAAAGCGGGAAAGGCGTGCGGTGCGGAATTGTCTCCGGTGTAACACGGATGGTGAGATGGAGATTGTGTGGGATAACGAAGTGTCAGGGTGTTGTGAGGAAGTGGTTGATGCTTTTTTGTACGAGTAGTCATGATGATGTGGAATGAGTAATAGCCTATGCAAATAGATTTACTTTGTTTCTGCGATATTAAAAACGGGCTTCATGAGAAAAGCCAATGAGTCATGAGAAAGAGCAAGAGAAAGAAAGAAGGATAGGCGCGGAACGAGTACGGAATTCGGAGTACCCAATGACAAGACCTGGAAATTCAACGAACCTCGGGTATCGATGGCTCTGTCCCTGAATGGCAAAAAAATGATTCCATAACCACAGCCCCGGATAGTACGAATCCAGGCAATGCAAGCACCAAAAACTGTCGTGTGCTCCAAATAAAGCAAACCCAGCCAGCGAACCATCTCTCCCGTTCGTGAAAATCGCATCAAAAAAAGAACATGGGATTTCTGCTCTCTGCATGCTCGCTGGTCGCCACCACCGAAGCTACGTTTCGTTTCTCTCAACACAGCCACACCCGACCCTCCATTCGGCTAGCAAGTCCCGGGCGAGCCCATTCGTCTCCCCCACAAAATGCTGGATCGGGGGGCTTGCGGCTTGCAGATCCCTCTGAAAAAAACCCCCTTGCGATCTGGGCCCACAAGCCGGTGTGCTGTGGCTTTTTCCCCCTCGTGCCAGCCCGGCTTAGTGGAGACACCCCGACAGGATCCCAACAATACGGGTGAACGTTGCATAAAGAAGAAGATGTCAGCTTGACAAGGTGCCGATCTAGATGCAAGCCTCCCCTTCTGAATGGACACGGAGACGTAGATGAACAACGGTGGTAGAGGGCTAAGGCGTGGACCCTGCGTCACTAGTGTTTGCCTTGTTTTTCGCCTCTAGCGATATAAAAAAAATCGTGGGTTTTCATCCTCACGGATGCTTCCAAGTGAGGCCTTGGGGGTTATTGGTACCGATTGAGTTTGTTTCTTTGAGACATGCTGTCGTGGTCGTACTCGCACCAGTGGTTACTTGTACTTGTACTTGCACTGCCTACCCAGCTTCATCATAACTTTGTGTTTGCGTAGACGCGGTCACTTGAGACGGGCCCGCCGGGATATTTGTTGGTGATATTGGCCGCATCCCAACGGCCTTGGGCCAAACCAATATGGGCCTTTCCGGTCAACCTAAAAGGTACAAGGCGTGCGTTTTGGAAGTTATCTTGTCCATTGAACTCGAAATTACGGCCACAATTGTTGCGTTTTTGGACTTCGGTGGACAAATACTCGTACTTGCTCGCAGGCAGACAGAATAGTGACCACTTTGATATATCAGCTGCCTTGGTTGGAGTTGTACATACTCCGCATATGGATTCGGGTTAATTATACGAGAAGCGAAGAGTCAACCTGCGTTTCGTTGACTCCACGTAATCATTGTACAGGAGCACTGATACCTGCTGAGTGAGTGTTTGTGGGTTGGAGCCCAGAGCTCGGCGCCGCTCCATGCATACTCGGTCCCAGAGAAAACATTATATCCGTACGACACAAGAGTCATCCATGACACGAAGAATCATGATCAGATAATCAGTGTTATCTTCACCGAGCTTACTTAAGTGATTTTTTATATAGTGTCAATCGGAAATCCGGATATAGGAGGTTGCAAGAAGCCGATCTCGGTAAATTACCTAGGCGACTCTTTTAAGCTTGAAAGGTAATGCTGCCTACATTGACCGCGTTGCCGATAGCCGCGGAGTTAAAGTACGCCTCCGCTGGGTTCTTCCCAGAGAAAGAAAGGCAAACAAGAATGTCAAGAATGAGGAAGCAATGGCTAAACTAGCGACCTTAACTCTGCCGGTATCCGTACACGTGTACTCGATCTTTTGATACTCCACGAGTTATGTTCGTCGAGGAGCTGGCTCCCAACCACCAATGAAGAAACAACTGAGCCACACATGTATAGCTGTGGGGGTCCAGGAAGTCACTGGACGGCCGTGTTATGCCGGCTGAAAATCCTCATCTATTCGAGGTAGATGTGCTGTAGCTTTCCCAGGGCTGTGGAGTGGACGGGTTTGATGTAGCGAGTGCGGGGTTAAGCGAGGTCTTGAGCGGAGTGTGCGCAGTGAGTACTTTATCTAAGTGGGGATATCATAGGGCAGGCAGAGTAAATTTACCTACCTTTGCACATGGCTAGGTAGTGGTGGTAGGGAGTCGTGTTGAGCTGGAGGCTGCAGTTGAGCCTCACTTGGCGCACGCTGATGAGCAATTTGGTGGTTGCAGATGGTAGGTATTCTGAGCCTCCCTCCTACTGCTGTCGGATGGCCGTTGTGAGTTTGTACACCCCAACGAGTACTGACCTAGCCTACGCCTACGGTAGCTACTAAGCTAAGGGTAGCTGGGCTGGGGTAGGGGTAGGTATTTTGGGAGCGACCACCACGACCTCCAGCAACGGGCTTACCGAGGAAACGAGTGGGAGCACCAGGAGTGAGAACTGAGAACCTTAAAAAGGATGGGTCACTCAGTACCCAGCCACACGCCAGGGAAGGTGCGAGCACATGCGATAGGTGGATGACAAATGACTTCCTCAGGCTGCCCTGACCAACTCCCTAAACGGGCTTAGCCCAATACCAAGCCTGCCATCCCTGCTCTCTTCCGTCATCGTGTTTGTCCCCAATTTTTGTTCGCGCCCTCCATGGGACGTCTTTGTCACATCCACAAATTCTGAGATCCATTGGGAGGACACCCATACACACCCATACTCACCCATACATCCACACCCGGCATCCATTTCATGCGAGGAATCGACAGGCATTTATGGGTACAACCAAGCCTGATTAGGGCGCCTCGGTAACCCCATCATATCCCAAATCTTGATCTGGATATTCCATTGTATCAGAGTCGCTAGCATACCTATCTGCTTCCTATATCAGATCTTTGCCCCCCGCCCACACTGCAACCCCTCTCTGACTTACTCACACTACCAAAATACACACCACGCACCACATTATACACTACTCACATTCACCCTTCAACACGCAACAAATTCAACCACCACGCAAAACCCAAAGCTGACGAGACACGACATATAAATTTCAGACCAGCCCAAGCCACATTCCGTTGATGACTACATAGGAGCACCTGACCCTCTGACCCCCTTCGTAATCACCATATCCATCCCATCCCATATCGCCGAGCGAGAGCCACATACCACGCCCTCGATCATTGCAGAAGCCGGGGCCCTCTCGATCCGATTAGCCCGGGCGCGAGTCATCGACTAAGAGATTTATACAAAGCCAGTCCGGATCGCCACTAGTATTGGCACATCAATAGTTTTTTGCAACTAGTATGTTGGCCATACAACGTCAGACTGAGAATCAACATCCGCAAACACTAGATATTCCTCGGAATCAATCTTGGTCGACGCCCTCAAACATCATCAATAACAACAATCTGAACAACATCTTCTCCTTTGGAGTCGATCAACCCTTGTTCGACTATCAACCAACTCAATTCGCCTCGAGCTCTCCCCAACCGCTGATGCAGGCGGATCAAAACAACACCTGGCTGTCGAACGGGCAGCTCACTCCAACTTCCACGACGAGAGCACACCACCGCGAGTCCTCGCTGTCCTCGTACGGCTCAGCAGGACCAGCTTCTCCATATACGGTCAACAGTTCCAACCCTCAAGTTGCGGGCGATATCTATCATGAATTTCAAGACTTTCATCACCCAGTCTCGAAGCCGATAACACCCATTCACACGCCCCTTCAAGAGAACTTCATTCCACCGCCGTACCCCAATTACTATCAGAATTCGCCATTGAATTTCAGTATGGCACAGGATGGCCTTCCAAAGCAGATGGGCAACGCAGAACTGATGCCTGCTGCAGAGATACGCAACGGTAGGAGATCAATGGCAACGGTGGCAAGTGAGTCATCTTCCACGCCACAGTCATCGTACGAAGACGAGAAGCACAAAAATGGTGAGATATCGCAGTTAGAGTTTTGGTCGAACGAGTACTTACACTGTGAATCAAAAGGCTACAGAGCAATGCCAAAACTCGATCGCACGATGACGGACATTTACGCTGATGAGCTTTATAACCCGAGCATCCAATTCACCTCCGCTGCCCCGTCGTCGAATACTATCTCTACGACGCCAGTATCGCCGCAGAACGATATCTTCTCTCAACGTCTCCAGACGGCAGCTAGCCAGCACTTGACTGCGCCGAATACGCAATCTCCATTATTGCTTCCATCTAGAGGAGATCGATCGCCCTTTAGGCAAGGTTCGCCTCTTGCACCGACGGGCACCAGCTATTCTACTCCATCATCCAATTTGCGGTTTGGAACTGCGACACATTTGAGGGAGCAACAGAAGGCAGCAAACGACGCGCGCGCACTTCAACAACAAATAGAGCGGACCTCTCCCGTAGATACAGCACCAAAAACGATTTCACCAAAGGAAGTTGCTCTAGTTTACCATGAAACCGAGGAAGATTCGAAGGTTGGATCACTGTTCAGACCACAGCAGCTTTCACCAAATTCCATGGGAGGCTCAAGAAACTTTCGCACCGATATTGATGAGACAGCTTCTTCGCAGCAGAGTTATGGCAGTATGGCAACTACTAGGCGAGAGAGTTCTTCGTACTCCAACTCATCCCAACCACAGCACATGAATTACGGTTTTGGTGTTCCAGCAGTGACCAACCGACAAATCCCTCAACAGTACCCATTTGTCCCACAAACTCAGCGACAGTCAAGCAATCTTTCTGGCGTGAGCGAAGACTTTCCTGCTTCCCTGGCAGCTATGGAATCTAGCAGTAGCGAGTTTACACCTGCATCTCCGGTACTTAAGAAACCGGCTGGTGCATCTGCGGATACAGGAACTTACACATGTACTTATCATGGTTGTACTCTTCGTTTCGATACACCAGCGAAGTTGCAGCGACACAAGAGGGAGGGGCATCGAAACTCAGCGACCGTTGGAAGCGGGGCAGACGAAGGTGGAATGACCTCAGCGGCGCAGCGGAACTCACAAGCGGGTCCTCACAAGGTAAGATCTCTCTTTTCCCCATTCATCACTTTTACCACCTCCATACACAGTCTTTTGGCGCTTCGCAAGGGTAGAGGCTAATTGATCAATACAGTGCGAAAGAATTAATCCGTCAACGGGCAAGCCCTGCAATACTATCTTCTCCCGGCCGTACGATTTGACCCGGCACGAGGACACCATCCACAATGCCCGCAAACTCAAAGTCCACTGTCCACTATGTACCGAAGAAAAGACATTCAGTAGAAATGATGCTTTGACCAGGCATCTCCGAGTGGTGCATCCGGAGCATGTGGAAATGAACAAAAGCAGACGGCGCGCGCATGATTGAGGAATGATACGAGGATCTATAGGAGATGACCGAAAGTCACCACACTTCTCACCTTCCTTCTCTCTCGATCCCTTAGGCCTCTAAAATCCTACGAGTTCTCGTTGCTAACATGCCACACTCATGGCATCACATTCCACCAGTTCATCCGCCTGGTCCGGTTCTCCCAAAGCTTTTTGACACGCATCATGGGTCGATGCAAGGCGCATCGCTTCCGATGCAGGGACCAGAACAGCCGCCCCTCATTTTGGGTGGACACACCGCGGAACAGACGGGGTCAACTCCGAAATCTGTGGTGTTCTTGGTGATGCCAACGCAACAGTGCGCATATTGATGGCATCCCTGTTGCGACTGTCATTCGCCAATTGGCATTCCGACCTAAGGGTTGTGACATCACCATGAGGTCCCTTTCTTCGACGAAGGTTTCACCACGTTCATGATTAACGAACGCTATGTCTTTCATCGTGACGACGTCATGCAATCCCGAGGTTACCTCGAGTGTGTTATGGATGAAATCTTTTCGGATAGCTCGATTTGTGCGATTTTTTCTTTTTTTCTCTTATGATGATGATATGATATGTGTGTACTTTTTCTTGGCGGGATGCACAGCGGGGTTTACTTTACTTTTTCTTTTTTTCATGGTTTTCGATCTGGAATCGAAATTGCAGCGAGCCAAGTTTGACTGTTTTTTACATTTTCCACTCTCCGATTTCTGATTGGTGCGATGTGTATAACACGATTTTTTTCTCTTTCGACGAGTCTTTTTTGCCTGTGGCTTTGTTTCATAATACCTTTTTTAAATTTGTGATGAATTGGCGGGGTACAAAAAAAAAGGATGGAGTTCTTAAGACTAGATTGTATGAATGATGGAGATTGAGTGTGTTTTATTTTTTCTCTTCTTCTTTCCTTTTTCTTCTTCAATCATTTCATCTTGTGTCTTTGTGCGTTTTTTCTCTAGTGTGCACGCTTTGTATATGATGTGTATTTCTATCTATCTCTTTCCTTTTTCCTCTTACGTTATTTTCCATGTGCGACAGCGAGAGCACCAACATGATATGAGAAACGAGGAATATGAAATGCGAAGTGGGGAATGTGGTAGGGGATGGAGGGGGTGTGCGTGTATATATGCTGCTGTGGTTCTTTTCTGTTACTTGGCTTGGGGATGTGTTTGTATGAGTAATGATGAGTGTGGTTTGGGAGCGGTGATGGTTGGCAAAGAATGAAATGAATGGTTGAAGGGGTAGTGGATGAGGGATTTAATTGGGAAACTTGGCGAGGGTGATGGGATGGTGTGGGATGAAAGGATGGGATGGGATGGGATGGTATAAGATAGGATAGAATGAATGAATGAATGAATGTGAATTAGTGAGATGATTTGTATATCACTACGAGCACTTGACGGGTTTCTTGTGCATGCATACTTGTGTACTTGTGCTCCATGGGTGGGCTTTTGGTGATGTTGATGTTGATATTGATTAAAGAAATACTACGCGGTAGCAGTAGCTTTCGTGAAGCTTTCGTGAAAAGGTGAAGGGGATTGTGGTTATAATTCTCTAATTTCTACTTGTAGTTTGGGTTTCATGTTTTGCTTTTGTGCTGTCCTGTAGTATCGTGTAGTGTAGTGTAGTGGCTGTGAAGTTCTGTCTGTGAAGTTCTGTCTGTGAAGTTCTGTCTGCCTGCTGTGGAATCGAAATGAATTGAAAGTACTAAATTGAGACTGAGTAAGATACGGGTATCAGGAGAGAGGATTTCACGATCTTTGACGACGAGATATGGCTCTTCAGGAGGTCTTTGGGTGGATTGTGGGATATTGGTGGTGTGAGTTAGATGGGGATCGTTTGAGAAGACGGGTCTTGAATAGAGAAGCTGGAAAGGATGAATTGTGATGTGAATGTGAAAGGGGGTATGGGGTTCTGGAGGTGGAGGTTGGGGATGTGAGGTGAGGGAGGTGGAGTGGGGAGTGTGGAGAGGAGAGAGTGGAGAGTGGAAAGTGAGTGATATCCATCCCTTTGGTCTACGTCTAGGTGTGACCGTGTGAGTATTAAATACATAATATCGATTTGTATGGATATATATATACCTCCCTATGTACAGGACGATCTCATTTGGGTTCTGTATCTCCTTCACTATGCCCAATTCATTTTTCTAACTGCTCTGAGTGTCTGAGTGTGGGCCACTAACTGTTCCTTACCTTCCGTTCTCTGAGGGCATTAGAGTTAGGCCTTTTTTATTGGGTTGTTGAGTACGGAGTAGTTGAATGGTTTTCTTTGCAGGTATGTGAATTAAAGAGGGGAATCGACAGTAAATGGGGTCTCGAGGGTGAAATATTTTGTTTTTTGGGCTTATGTTGATATTGGATTGGATTGCGGTGGGAGATGTTAGGAGGGTAAGTGTGAGTCTTTGGTTTGATTGTGGTGGGATACTATCGTGCTGGTGGTGGTGTTGCTAGGTAGGTATTTTGGGGCGAGGATTAGGTACCCGGGGGTGATGGAAGGGTTTTTTGTTAGAAACCTTTGTACACTTTAGCTTGTGAACTCTTTATTACTTTGTTACTTTTGCTCTTCCTGGCAAGGTTCCATTTTTAAGAGAGAGAGAGAGAGAGAGAGCTGTTTTGGAAGAGAAGGGAGGTGGTTAGTCGGTCCTTTTTTGGTACTGGACGGTCGATTATATTACTTTAACATATTCGTGTAAAGTTGGTAGTTCTTCTCCTAATCTTTCTTGAGGTGATACTACCTATATTCTGATCTGATCGAGATATGCAAATACAACTTCTGCACTTGGTTATACCCCACCACCATGAATCCGCTTGGGTGGTCAAGTCGAGCTTTTTGGACTTCGCTACAAACTGACGCAAGGAATCTTGTCATGCAACTATCTGTATTGTGAAAAGATGAACTAGAATACACGTTTGATTCATGCTGTAAGTGTAAGGGGGGGGAAGTTGGGGTGGGTGTGTATGAGGAGGTTTAAGGTAGTCTTGATTTCCCTTTTTTTTTTAGCAAGTAGTATATAGTATACAAAGATTACGCCTGAGATTCTCCATGAAAAAGGGTTTATGACAAAGTGTGCGAAGGTTGTGAAGGGTATTTGTGGAGGGATAAAGTAGGGGAGTTTCATTACTATACCGACCACCCGAAACTCGATGTCGTCCTAGCACGGACTTTTGGCTGGGGGGACGATCTCGTGGTTTCGTCTGAAAATTCGAGGAAGAAGTATGGAAAGGGAATCGACAGCAAAGGAAAAACCGACGGTGTTATTGGGTTTGTACCTGCTGGGGTTTTGAGGTGAACTCAATGAGAAATGGGTAGTGGCCTGTAGAGGCGGAGAGATCTAGGTTGAGTCTGTGGCTTTCTTCGTTCAGTTCGTTCTTAAGGAGAAGCATGGGATCGCCTATGACGAACCTCTGAATCTTGGATTCTTTGTCTGTACTGTGTTCATAGATCTGTAAGGGAGATTTATATTTTTGGGTCGTATGGGCTGGACATGGCTTCCAAATTTGTCAAGGAAGATTGGGAGATGAAGAGCGAGAGAGGAGAGATACTAGGAGTATTTTTGTAAGAAGTGTTCCAGAAAATTTGATTTACTCTATCGTTTTATTCATTCTTCATTTGCTCTCTTCTAAATCGTGCGTTCGGATACCCGTAACGAATCGATGCTACATCTTCTTATCCAGAGAACCTCTATTGGTATGTTAGTTGTTCAAGGATTCCACTGTAATATTTGAATAGTGGACGAAATCGATAAATCTTTGAAGTATTGGGCTGCAAAGCCGATAATGCTTTTGCTCAATCATTCGTGGAGGATCAAAAGAGGCAGGACGCTGCAATATCCGAGACCAGGATGAAAACTGTAAAGAAACAGATGAAGAGCTTACTATACCTGCAAGACAACAAGAGTCCATCCGATAGAATAGAAGTCTTGTAAATAGAACAAATTAAGAGAACTCAATCGACAGCAAGCAATGTTTCGACGACAAAAGTTTTCTTCCGGTTCTTGAAGTAGACGGAGCGAGATATTGCAAAGTATGGCTTGGCTTGGGCCGAGAATTTATATTGCAAGCTGGGTTCAGGAGCTGGCCCACCAATCTTTTCGGTGCTTTCTATAAGCTGGAGCAGACATTCTTGGGTCTCTAAGGTGTCTTTCCGGTTCTGCTTAGAAAGAGGGCTTCGGCTTTTCAGGTTCTTTATATACTAGGCGGGGGGACTGAAAGCATGGGCGGCCCTGAATTAAGAATATTGGGAGGGCGTGTGATGGGAGTGCGTTGAATACATCAAATAAGAGCTGAAAGGGCTGGAGTACCTACCTTTGTTATTTCAAAATCTGGTGTTAGAAAGACATTAAACTTTAAGAATCACAGATGCTTTTCTCTGACTCCATATTCGTAGACTAAGAAGTTTTGAGTTTCGTAATTTACACAACAGAGAAAACAAACTCAGAAGTTCTGGTCTTATTCCTCATAATGTTAAGAAATATAGCCTTCTTTTAAGAAAGCAATTATACAACAACTTGAATATGAAGCTAGGACAACCTTCTATCATTGTGTTCTAGTCTGCGAAATTACTCCGAGGCTAGCCTTCCGTGTTGATAATATTTAGCAGTATCCAGGATTCTGAAGAAAGGTATATTATGATGGCTGAGGAGCTTCTACCTCGCATAGACTGTTGAAAAATATGACTGCCTTTCCAAAATTTGAGTTCTTCATGACTGAGATGCTCGCTCTTGGTGTCACTTATTGATCTGGTAGTTTTACCATGTCCAACTCAGACAGATGAAACAAGATTGTAACTTGGTCAGTCCCTACAGTGTCAAGCTTCAGGTGAGCTTGGTAAGGGACAAATAGTCACTAGCTAGGTTGATTCCATCTGCTTACCCTATGGGAACTGCGTCAGGAAATACCAGACACCCGTTGCGGGGCGCCCTGGGGTACAAACCCTTCCCTAACGCGCACTTTCCCTGACACCAACGGTGGCCGTTAAACCTTAATTCGTACTAAAGATATAGTTCTTTATCTACTTGTTTACGCGCTTACTTAGGTACTTACTTATAGGCGGGGAAGGTAGAGAGGGGGGAAGGGAGGGGAGGGGAGGGATAGAGAGGG